AATGACACCTTCAACGCTTCTTTCAATGTCAAAGCCTGGAAAATATTTATTTAAACACTTCTGAATTGAAATTAACAAAAAATCAACTTACATCATGATATTGTTCTTTCAAATTTTGTTCTGCTCCATCGCTAGCGGCTCCGATTGATTTTGCTTTGCAATCAATGAATGTTCCAGATGGATCGAGATGGAATAATTTGGCACCTTCTTGATCGACACCAGCGAAAAGCATCGCAACTCCAAATGGTCGAGACATTGAGGCCTGCAATAAAATTGATTTTTCTTGCGAAAAAAAGTGTTTTTTCTCACCTTAACATCATCGTCTCCGAATTGCAAAGCCAAATTAGCGACTGATTGAGTAACATCTTCTACACGAATTTTACGATTGTATGTGAACCAGAAGTTTTGGGCTTCAATTTGTGCGCGCTCGACAAGTGTTCTTGAATCGGCAATGAGTCCAGCAAATGTGACAGCTAAATTGTGTTTTTTTTTAAACTTTATCTAGAAATAAAACACTTTGAATTGCTTACCAACATGTTGATCGACTTTACTGATTTTCTCGATCGCATCATTGACCATCAATTTTGATGTGGATCGTTTCTCTGCGGCCAACAAAACTCCTTCCTTTGTTCTGATTCCAATACTGGTTGATCCAAGTTTGACGGCTTCAATAGCATATTCTACTTGGAATAGACGTCCTTCTGGTGAGAAAGTGTTGACTCCACGATCGTATTCACTTCTGGTAAGGAACATGATTCTGAAAAACGAAACGTTGCAATAGAAACAGGGGATTTCGCGACGCAAAAAATGGAAATGCCGAAAAAATCAAAATCATTCCCGCATTGTTGCGTAGCGGTGTCAGCACACATTGCATTTTATTCGACGCGCATGTTTGTTTTTTTTTACTGCAACACGCTGTCCACAAATGAAAAAACGCTGCCCTGTCTGCACTCTGACACACGGCATACTAAACTGTGTGTGTCTGTTCGTTCTCTCCGATCGCAACACTCTCTCGTCATCTTTTTTCTCTCGGTTTCTTCAGCGGGAGGCGCTCTCTCGTTTTTTTTTCTTTTTAAAAAAAATTTCAGCATTTTTTCATTGAATACTCTGAAAATCGTGGGTTTCATCAAATGAATTGTATATGAGAAGAAAGAGGAGCATCTCACGAAAGCAGAGAAATACATTTTGAGAAACATTGACCACATTTTCAATCAGAAAATCGACAAACAAAACCAATGACCGTTTTGACACTGATTCTGAGCTTTCTCTTCGGGATATTTTTGAAAAAAATACAAAAAATTCATTTTTTAGGTTACGTGCCATGTTAACCGACATTTTTCTGTAATTAGTTTCAGGATATAAACTCGAATTTATGAAACAACATTTATTCTTATTCAAAATCGCCCTAATTTCGATTAGAATTCAACGAAAATTATAAAATTAATTCGATCCTGGTGAATCCATACGAAGCATTCCAATCTCAGAGTGTAATTGAGAAGATTCGAGTTGGTAGAGGACCTGGAAAATATACACTAGACAATGGTGATAAATTTTGAAAAGTAGCTTTGAAAACGAGTTTTCATGAACCTTCAACGAGACAGAATTTTGTAAAAAACGAACCAATTCACTAAATAGTGCTTCTCAAAGTTCGGATAACGTTCATAAGCAATAATCCATGGCTCAGAAGTTTAACAAGTTCGCCATTGAACATGACTGTTGTCTCTCTCTCCCAGAATCATAGAATATCGACACCAAACTCCATCCAATCTTCGATTTTCTCCATGATTCGTATTTATCTGACATCCTCTCACATTTTTTTGCATCAACTATTTCGATATTTGAAGTTCAGTTTTGGTGGAAGCATCGATTTGAAGTTGAAAATTTCATATTTTCGGACAACGCAAAGAGCTGTATTCTGGAGTTTTTTGATTTTTTGAACAATTCTCCTTCTCAACGTGCGCTTCTGTAGATGTCCCATAACCTGTAAAACTATTTTTCTTGCTCAAAAATTTGAAGTCAAAAAAGTTGAAAAAACACTCACTTTTCCGCTCGAATGTTCTCCTTGAATTTCGACTCGATATGAGATGTTTTATATATCTCTGTCTTCCAAATCTCTTCTATTTTGAAGTTTAGCTTCGTATTAGCGCAGAAAAAATCGTGGCGACCAAAAAACACGAAAAAATAAAGAAAAAGTTTTTTTTCAATGGAAAAAAGTGAGTGCAGCAAACGCGCTCCATCTCACTCAGCGAACGACGAGAGAGTGAGACGCAGACTTCACGCAGGTGTGGAGGCTGTGCTGCAAAAGCTATTCATGATTAATGCTTTATATTACGGGTTTTGCGAGGTTTAGAGCAATAAAATATGGTAGATTTTCAAGTTGAAGATTTCAGGCGCTTTCAATTAACACCACAAGTCGGTCATTGGAAGAAAAAGTCATCGAAACTTTGGAAAATGCTCAAATCTCAGGAAAAATTCCACGAACACTACCGAAAGATAGTGAAATATCAATAGAAGTGTCTAAATATGGATTGAAAATTTTATCGAAACTACGGATACCTTTATTGAACCTCATTCTTGTCACAATATTCGATGATGGCTTTGGAAAGTGAGTTGATTTTTTACACAAAATAAAAAAGATCAAATCTTGATTTTTGTAGAGTGAATGGTGTAATTGTGGAAAACTGCGATGGAACATATAAAATGCATCTGATTCAATTTCTCACCGAAATCTCAGCTCACAAACTTTGCAAACTTGTCAACGAAACATTTCAAGAGGCCGAAGAAGCTAGACATCTTTTAGAAACTACAGAACCCCCAAGTCCTTCAATAAATATTTGAATTATATATATTTTTTGATGTAAATTCGAAGAGAAACCTGTAAAAGCCTGTTTTCTATATATTCTCCTATACATCAAAAAGTTATAGGTGAATTTAAGATGAGAATTGAAAAAATGGTTTGGGCTGCTGCGGGAACCGCTGTTCCTTTAAAATTCTACAAGGAGAAACACGACGAAAAGATTTTCCAAGCTCGAGAAGAAATTTCGAAAACTATGGTAGTCCAAGGAATTCCGGGATTATCGATTGGCGTTTCAATAAAAGGAAAAACTGTCTGGAAAGCTGGATTCGGCTACAGTAACATCGAAAGTTCAGCAAAATGTACAGGTAAGATTTTTATTAATTCAATGCAATATTATTTCCGTCTCTTGAATCCCTTTTTGAATTTCGGTTTTTAAATCGGAATCATTGACGTTTTGTAAAGCATAGTAGAAAATCATGGAATAAACGAATACAAATTGTTCATAATTTTCGATAGCTCCAGGTCTTTGTTGACGAATATTACGACACAAATCTTTGATCTATGAAAAATAGAAATTTTCAAAAGAAGATTGATTTCAAAACTCACACTAAAAATTCGTTCCATTTTTCATAAAATGAATCGCGCTAAGAATTGCCAAAAATGTTCCAGCTCTTCCAGCTCCTTTTTTCGAAATAATTCCAATTGGATGTTGTTCATCCTCACTAATTGCCAACAAATTCAAAATAGTTGCCAACAATTTCTTGCGGTTTTTCACAGTTTTTCCACTCTCCCAATAATTCAAAACATTCAAATTCACTCGAATCGCATCACCTTTTTCCATAACTTCCAACCAATAACACTCATTTATTTCTTCAGTTGCTCCTTGAACTTTTTTTATTATGAACCCACATATTTGCATGTGTTGAATGATCACCATAATAAATTGGGAATAATCCACTAAACTTTTCACCTTCAGTTTTATTCGATTCTTCCAAAGAGGATAGCAAATAGATGTTATTTATTTGTTGTTGATGAATCATTGTCCAAAAATCGGAATATCTTTCAATCGAAACTAAAGGCAGTTGAGCCAGGATGAATTTTCGAGAAATATCTTTGATTTCAACGTTGCTTGCGTGAATATAATCTGGCGTGGATTTCAATTTTACACGATTTATATCTAAACATACAATTGTGTCATCTTGATTGCATTGTTGATTTTGTGAGAATGCCGTGCAATCCGCATCATTCACCACAGAAGCATTGACAAATTCCCATTCTTTTTTGAAAACTTCAACGAAATTCTGATCAAATTGTCGAAGAATATTACGAATTGATTCCTCAATTTTATTCGCTGGATGTTCTTCATCTTCTTTATTTTTATAAGCATTTTCAATTGCTCCTTCAAATTTCGCTGGACTTGGATCAATATTAATTGGAAGCACTGAAGATGGCTGTTTTCGAAGAGGTTTAGATGGTTTAGATCCTTGAATATTCTCATTTACAAGTTCAATTTTTATCGGGCTCGGATCTATATTCAATGGTAATTGAGATGATGGTCTTTTTCGAAGTGGCACAGGTTTTGTTGTTGTTGGCACATCAAATTTCTCATTGGATAATTCGATTTTTGTCGGGCTTGGATCGATATTTATTGGAAGTTTGCAGGATGGACGTTTTCGAAGTGGAATGTTATTTTCTTTTTCTTTTGATGATAATTCGATTTTTGTCGGGCTTGGAGATCTTGATATTGGTGGAACAGAAGAGGGAAGTTTCACTTTTTCTGTCGAATCTTTTTGACGTTTTTTACTTCCACATGGTGATTCAAGCTAAAAATTAGACAATTGATTTTTTTTTTTTTGAAAGAATTGGCTGATGAATTATTTTTTTCTGTAATAATTTTCCATTTCGTCAGATTTTTTGTTTCTAATTCTCTAAACCCGCACCCTTAGAAGCCTAAGGAATAAAACCCCTAAGACTCACATTACTTTTCGGCAAATCACTCCGACTTTTCTTCACCACACTCGATTTCGTTGCATTCGGCTTCAATTTTTTGCTCATACTGGATTCTTGCACACTTCTCGCTGCAAACGGTCTCGTCTTTCTTGTTGCCGTTTTCCTCTCATCATCCGAACTCTCGATTTCTTGTTTTTCACCAGATGACGGAGTTCTTGCTGAGCTTTTCAATGCACTCACACAATTCGTTCTACTTTTCATTGTTTTATCTTCCTTATTCATAATTTATTCAAGGGCTTTTAATTGGTTTCGATTATCTAGAAATACCCGGGAGGGTTTTTTTTCACACATGTTCAGAAAAAAATTGGTTCACGTGACGCATTTTTTTTTCCAGGAGACACTGTTATGCGAATTGCTAGTATCAGTAAACCAATCACCTCAACAATCGCTGCAAAACTCGTCGAGTCCGGAAAACTAGACCTCGACAAAGATATTCACGAATATCTTCCAGATTTTCCCAAAAAATTGTGGAACGAGAAACCCGTCAAAATCACAACCAGACAATTATTATCGCATTCTGCCGGTATTCGACATTATTTGAATGAAAAAGTAAGTTTGAAATTATCTACTCGTTTATGATTATTTTAATATACAATAACTATTTTTCAAAAAAAAACGACAACAACAATTCGATTTAGACAGTCTTTGCCTTTTGCTTCTTTTGATAATCTTTGAGTGCTGCTTGAATTGCGTCTTGGGCGAGCACTGAAAAATAAATAACTTTTTTGCGAAAAAAAATGTCCCAAAAACTCACTTGAACAATGAAGTTTAACTGGTGGAAGGCAAAGTTCTTTGGCAATTTCGTCATTCTTGATTTTCGACGCATATTCAATGGTTTTTCCATTAATCCATTCAGTCGCCAAACTTGAACTTGCAATAGCACTTCCACATCCAAAAGTTTTGAATTTGGCATCAACAATTTTGCCGGAATCATCAACTTTGATTTGCAATTTCATAACATCGCCACAAGCTGGAGCGCCAACAATTCCAGTTCCGACTGTTGGATCATTTTTGTCCAAACTTCCAACGTTTCTTGGATTCTCGTAGTGATCAATGACCTAAAAACAAAAAGCTCGTTAGCGATGACGAAACTATCCAATTACAACTAACCTTTTCATGGTATTTGGCTGTTCCTTGATTTGTCAAAACGGGAACTTTTTGAAGAAGTCCTTTAGCCAATCGCAACGACATTTTCCTTTTGTGTAAACTTTAAAAAAGAAAAATATTTTGGGTTGCGAAAACAAAAAAAAGATAAGGACGGGGGACGAGGATTTCCTCGGCCACACGAATCGATCGATTAAAATATTATTTTTTTTGCAGAAAAATCCGAAATTCTCGATGATCCTGCGAATAGCAATGCAAAATCAACTGAATTCTTGCTGAACAAAAAATTCAAAAATGTGACGGAAAGCTTGGAAATCTTCAAAAACGATAATTTGGTCGCGGAACCGGGGAAAAAGTTTAGCTACACAACTTTTGGATTCACATTAACTAGCGCAGTTTTGGAGAAAGTGAGCGGGTTGGAATTCAAAGTTTTGGCGAATAATTTGTTCAAAGAGTTGGGCTTGAAAAATACACAATTAGATGTGAATGAAAGAATTGTGAATTATAGATCAAAGTGAGTAAATGTTATTTTTTTTGATTCAAAACGTGGAAAAATTCAAGTTATTCCAGTTACTACCATCGAAATAACCGCCATGTTCTCGAAAATTGTCCAGAAGTTGATTGTTCTTATAAATGGGCTGGTGGTGGAATAATTTCAAACGTCAATGATCTTCTAATCTTCGCCAACTCAATTCTCACCTCAAAATTAACCGATTCAAAAGATACAATTTTATCAAATTCAACAATTTCACAATTCCTCACACCTCAAATCCGCGCTGATCGAACAGCTGAAGCCGGCCTCGGTTGGTTTATCGTTGATGGTCCAAATCCACATTTCTATCATACTGGCGGAGCTGTCGGCGCATCTTCAGTGCTAATTATCTATCCAGAAAGCGAGATTTGTATTGCCATTTTATGTAATCTTCAAGAAACCTCAGTTCTTTCACTTGCCAGGACAATTGAGTCAATTTTCAGAGAATAAATAATTTATTGCCTAAATCATTTTTTCTCATCCTCCTTTTTTTCCTCCTCTTTCTTCTCATCCTTCTTCTCATCCTCCTTTTTCACATCCTCTTTTTCGTATCATCCTTCTTCTCTCCTTCAGTTCCTCCTCCTTCCTTCTTTTTCTTTTCTTTTGCAGAATCCCAATCACTTTCAACATCATTAAAAGTTGGATAATCTCCCTTGTTTCGTTTTTCACCTTTCGCAATTTTCTCTTCCTTCGCGTTTTTGGTGATTTGCTTGGGTTTGATCTCCTCTTTTCCATTTGGTGCATCTTTTTTCTCGTCTTTTTCTCATCGCTTTTTATCACCGATTTTTTCTCATCTTGTTTAGAATCTGAAAGTTTCTATTGTTTTTATGATCTTTCTCTTTAAATTCCTCACTTACCTTTCTTTTCATCCTTTTTCTCATCTTTTCCAGCTTCATCCTTCGGTTTTTCTTCCTCTTTCGGTTTCGCCTCTTCTTTTTTCTCCTCTTCTTTCGTTTTTCCAGCAGCTTCATCCTTTTTCTCTTCAGCTGGTGCCGCCGGCGGAGCTGCGGCTTGCGGAGGTGGCGGCGCAGACTTCGCAGACTTGCCTTCAACTTTCGGTGCTTTCTTTTTCCCACCACATCCAACCAACAATGATAGAATAAAAGTCAAGGAAATATAGAAAATCATGAATGAATCACTGCTCATTTTGATATTCGACTTGAACTTGAAGTTCAATTAAAAATGCCTACTAAAATCGCCTAAAATGAGGAGTTTTGATGAAAATCCAGGTTTTATAGTAATTTTTTTGGATCGAAAGGTCACGTGAATTTTATTTTTGGCTAGATTTTCTAAAATTCAATTTCTATAATTATAATTAATCTTCATAGAATTTAGATAAATGCATATCACAACAAAAGAAAAAACTCTATAACAACCCCAAAAAAAATCCCGTATTACCTATTTACAATTAAATAATTCTTTAATTAATCAAATTCTTTTGGCTCATTTTCTTGTCTTTCTTTCAACAATTCCAAATCAATATTCTGCCATTGCCATTTTTGTTGTTCCGAAGTGCTATTACATTTTCGCATAAATACAAAACCAGTGCCATTTTCATCAGCAGCCAAACATTGTCCAGAAATCGGGTGATATATTTGCTTTTGTTCGGCTCGCAATTTGAATAATTGATTTCCTTTCATCGAATGACAATCAAAAAGTACGACTGGAGTTTTATCCAAACTTTGTGAAACATCAAAACAGATTTTTCGATTTCCTGGGCGAATATCGTGCCATCTTGTCAACTTCAAATCTTGCTCTCCCGGAAGTTTACCAGAGTCATCTGATTCGCATTTTTTGAGACCGAATCGTTGATTTTGCTCTTTGAATTGAGTGTCGACGCAGAGACCAGATGCGATGTGACGAAGTTCTCCTGGAAAATGAGGAAGAATTATTCTGGGCCGTTTTCTTACGAAGAAAATCTCACAAAAATTGAATTGATAAAACAATTATCGGAATTTCGTAGGTTTCACAGCCAAAAAAAAATAAAAGTTTCAGAAAAAATTTCTAACCTTGAGCAGCTGGTTTTGGAGGCACAGCCGGATAATATTTATCTTGATCAAAAGCAATCTCCTTCATAAACCAATCAAAACTTTTACACTGCAATTTCTCTCGAACTTTCAACATTCTCGTCAAATTTCCAGCATCAGCACTTCCAACTCCAGGTCTATGTTTATACAATGTTTCTTTATATTCATCCATCCAAACTTCAGCCACTCTTTTATAATTTCTCGATACAAAATCCCCCATTCCTGCATTTTTAAACGGCGAATATTTGCATCGATAAATGTGTGCAACCCGACTACAAGGAGCATCAACCATTTTCCCGTGACATTGCCAAACTTTGAAACTAAGCTCATATTGTTCGCCTCCCCAAATATCCAATCCTTCGTCATATCCGCCAAGTTCCCAAAACCATTTTGCAGAAATCGCAAAATAACCACCAGCCATAACTGGTGAATCGAAGGGTTTTGTTGGATTTTCGCGGTCTTTTTTGGTTAGTGGAAGACGTTTATAATTGAATGCCCAATCGAATGAACCACGAGCTCCTTCATCTTGTGGCTTGATTTCGTAGGTTTCACAATCGATGACGTCAACAAATGGACAAACGACGGTTCTGGAAAAAAGTTTGGTTGATTTGAAGTTTGGTAGAACTTTTAGAAATTCGGAACATTTTTGATTATTCAAACATCTTGGAATGTATTTTTTGAGAAAAACAAATAAGAAAAATTTTTATTATGGGAATTTTGAGGAAATAAAAACATAATTTAATTATTTTTCGGAATTTTGAAAAAAAAATAGAATTGGACAAAATGTTTCATTTTGAATGTTTTTAAAACTCAAAATCAAAAAAAAATATTTTTTTATTCAAAATTTTAGGAAATTTAGAATCATTTGAATTTATAAGGAAAACATTCAGATTCTGTGTTAAAATTCACGTTTTTTTTCAAAATTCTTGAAAAATTTTCGAAATTTTTGAAACATTTCTGATTATTCAAACATCTTGGATTTTTCCCGTATTTTTTTGAGAAAAACAAACACATTTTCGTCGTAAGAAAAATTTTTATTATGGGAATTTTGATGAAATAAAAACATAATTTAATTATTTTTTGGCATTTTGAAAAAAAACACAAGAATTATTTCGAATGTTTTTAAATTTAAACTCAAAATCAAAAAAACTATTTTTTTTTATTCAAAATTTTAGGAAATTTAGAAGCATTTGAATTCACAATGAAAACATTCAGTCACGTTTTTTTTTCAAAAAAATTCAAAAATTTTCCAATTCAACCAACCTATAATCATCAGCAATTGGATCCAAAAGTGGTGGCAACCAATTATAATTCGCCTCCGAATGTGCATCCAAAAATATCAAAACTTCACCAACAGCATTTTCAGCTCCAAGTTGTCTCGCTCGAATTAATCCCTCTCTTTTCTTTGTTCTCAACACTTTTACCAAATGATCAATTCGATTCGCTTTCAGAAAATCTTCAAGCGGTTTTAATAGCGCAGCTTTTTCACTGAAGTCATCAACAAGAATTATTTCTTTGAGAAGTTCAGGTGGTGAACGATTCAGAATCGAGTAAACTGATCGCAACAATGTTGAATTATGCTGAAAAATTATTGCCTTATTTCAAAAATGACGTGGCAATTAAAAATAAATACCTCCTCATGAAATGGAAAAATCACAGAAACAGTTGGTAATTTGCTAGAATATTCCATAATTTTACATTTTTCATGTCGAATATCTTTTATCGATCGATTCAAAGAAATCATATCCGAAATATAAGCGTTATATCCATTTGCTTTGTACAAAGAGAGCTGGAATAATTAATTGAAGTAATTAATATTTTCTCAATTAATTACCGCTTCTTTTTCGATTTGATCATCTTTTGGCAAATTGACTGGTTTTCCCCATTCTCCTGGGCCTTCGCGACGTTTTTCCGCTTCGTATTTTTCGACATCTTCCCAATTCTGAATTTTTCTTGTTCAAATTGATTTTTTCTCCAATTACTCACTTTTTTGGGTTGCCCTCGATAACTTTCGAATGGATCAAAGTGTTTTATTGAAACAGAATCTGGCTGAACTATTGGATCAAGTTCTTTTGGATGAACAAATCCAGAACTTTTATCTGAAGACGGAGAAGATACAAATGAATAAATTAAATATAATCCAAAAAGTAGAGCTATGTATTGGACCAGCCAATGATATCGACGACTTATATATCGGCCTAAACCCATGCTGCAAAATTGAATGTTCAAAAATATATAAAAAAAATAAATGAATTGAATCGAAAACGGAGGGCATCGAGAGCAAATACACGTGGCTAATGCATGAAACGACAAACATAATATTTTTTTAAAACAAAGGGTCGCTCATGGAGACGCAGGCGGGGATGATATGCACACTATGTCAGCCCAATGAAAATTGGCAATCGGTGAGAGTGAAGGAGACTTAAAGAAAAATAGATCAAAGGTACATTGAAAATTGTGGGTCTGAAAATCCATAATTTTTGGAATGGCGTTTGGTGAGCATATTTTGTTTCGAAAAAAATGAGAATGACTTTTATTCGCTTGGCAAAGTGAAATTTCAAGAATCAATTCTCAGAAATCAAGCTGAAGCCTATTTCAAGATTTCACAAATCCTAGACCCGCAAATTCAATTCGCTGTAGATCACGCGGGATTTCAATATCTTTTTCTCTCTCTTTCACTCTTACCGATTGCTTTTTGACATGTTGTGGATATGTATTAATAGTGAAAGTTGAAATACTTATGGCGCGCACTATGTGAAAAAACACACGATTATTGACAAGTTGTTTATTATCAAAATAAACACAGTATAACAATAACAGAATTAAGCCTTGTATCCACGGGAGGCTCTGCGTCCACGAGCGCGTTCGAATTTGCGTCCCTTTGATCGGACCAATGGCTTGGAGTGACTGTGTGGAACTCCTGGAGCGAGTCCGAAGTGTTTCTCTGATTCACGAGCCTTGCGTGGTCCCTGGAAAAATGAAGTGTTGATTGGAATTGAAGAGAAATTCTTTCCTTATGAACCAACATTTATCAAATTTTTATAGTAACAAGGTTAGCAGAAAACTTTCAGCTTACAAAACCCTAGACCATGAAAGTTAAACTTACTTGGATAAGGAGGGTGTTTTCTCCCTTTGGTGCTCTGAGGGCGAGTTGATCAAGAGTGATGATTTCTCCTCCGGCTTTCAAGATTCTGGCTCTGGCTCCTTCGGTGACGTGGAGGGCAGCAAGCTGAAAAAACGAATATTATAAATTGTTTGGTGAATGACGAATCAGAGGATAGGTGTATTTCACATGGTTTTCCCAAGTGTCACGGAACCAGGGTTCTACACAGGGATAAGGAATATGCGAACTCAACCGGGCATCTTTCAGAAGAAAGGGCCACACAGTTGATTTTTATTCGATCGAGTGGGTTGAAAACTCTCCAAAAGTTGGAGCTTCAATATACCACGAAGAATAAACCATCAACCCCGAAGGGGATAGTCATTCACCGATCGGGAACTAAAATAGAAAATCACTTACTGTGATCTTTGGAACTTGGTACAAACGAGCATCATCGGTGACGGTTGAGAGGGTGACAACGGTCTTGTTGGCGTTTCCGGCTCTCTTGACGTTCTTGACAACGTTGGCCAAAGAGATTGGTTGACGGAATCTACGAGCAGTTCTGAGTCTCTTGAGGACAACCGAGTTGAATTTCTCTCCAGTACGTCTGGCGAGGAAAGCATACAACTGAAAACTTAATCTATGAGTTTTTCCGAATAAATTAAACAACGAATTACCTTCGACAAAAGTCGGACGTATGGATTCTCACTCTTTGGGGCCGTTCTACGGGCGATACGATCGTGCTTATGGTTGATATCAATACCCTAAAAAATGTATTTTGAATAACCAAACTCGTTTTATTGAAAAAAAATCGATCGCGTATCCAATATTCACATTCGTCAGAATGAAAAAGGAACTGACGATGTCTTGAAGCATCTATCAGTCATGAATAATATAAAAACTCACCATTTTAACTGAGTAGTTCTGTGTTACCTGAAAAAAACGAATTTTTTATGAGAAAAATAGGGCTAAACCGGAATTTTAAAAGTAATAACGCGTATAACATACGAAACTTCAATTTTCAAAATTATTGGAAAGCTATGAAAATCAAAAAAATCGCGAAAAACACGTAAAAACGGGCGAAAAAACGTTGAAAAATTTAGGAAACGAAAAGAAAAATGGGTTTCTCTGTTTAAAGGGACACATGTTTTCGCTGCGAGACCTCAAAGCCCAACGACACTCCGCCCTGCCTGTTGTTTATTTTTCGAACAAAAAATTTATTTTCTTTTTTTCGGCGGGACTTTCGAGGGAAAAGTAAAGTTTTTGAGGAAAATTAAAGAATAGAACATTTAGAATGTGACAGTTTCATCAGAACTACGATTAGTTTTCATTAGTTTCTTCATAGCATTCCTCTTTTTCGCTCTTTTGAATAAAAATAAGCAATATTGAAGTTGCAAAATAATAACAGGAATGAAATATATAAGATACAATTCCCTGAGAAACATAATATTTGTTTTCAGTAGAACACAAATCTAATCTCACCAGTCGGTGCGGCTTATTAACATTCGTTCCTCGGGACAATGGTTGTAGTCATTTTTGCAAGCTTCACTATCCATAATTTATGAAAAATAATAAGAAATGCAGTAAATATATACGTGAGTTGGATTTGAAATTAAAGAAAAAAAGATTGAAACAAATCCCGGCATTTTCGATTTTTTTATAAAGCAAAAGCAAATTCAAGTTAACGAGTTAACCATGGAAAAAATTCAATCAAATAGTGATTACGAAAAACTAGTGCCGCCGTTTGTGAGAAACTCTGGATTAAATCTAAATCTCTACAGTTTCGATGTGCAAACAATTCAACATGACGATGGAAAGATCGAATTCAATTATAAAATGGTTTTCGAAAAAGCGAAAGAGGAAAATATCAAATCATCAAACGATATTATTGATATGATAAATGTAACAGTTATTGTTATACATTATTCAGCTGATGTGGTTTATGATGAAAATGAGCGAGTTGTTCTTGTCGAAAATCGAAAACGCAAAAATCAGGTATTTTTTGAAATCAAAAATAAAATGCTGAAATAAATTGATTGAAATTTTTTATCAGAGCTCGAACAAACTTCAAAAACGAATTCAAATCAACTTCAACAATTCGAGAAATCTTGCGAGAATTTCACAGCGAAATTCAGAGTCGCAATGAGTAAGTTTTCAACAACGAAAGCGAGTAAACAAAAACATTTTCAGATCAAATTACACTCCAAATTTATCATATTCAACTGGAAAACACGAGCAAAAAGTACAAATAAAAGGAAGAATGTTGGATGTGAAAATTGGGAAATTGGCCACAAATCGAGACAGTTTTTTGGTTTACGTGGATCTTTTGCAAAATTAGTTTTATGAAATGAAATTTATTTGAGATTCTAAGAAAAAAATATACAGAAATATCAATATCATTTTCAAATCCACAAGTAAAATATTTATTCATCCTCTAAATCGGAACACCTTGATCATTCAATTTTCTATCATTGAATCCTTTTGTCAATTCTCCAAGCTTCGAATTCAATTCAGATTCATCCAACCAATTCGACTCTTTTCCAATATGAAGCGAAACCGCAATTGTGAAACAGAAACTATAATATGTGGACAAAGAACCGGGGCGCATTTTCATGATTTTCTTGATCAATTCGGGAACATCGAAACATTCTCGTTTTTCGACATCTTTCAAGAGCATCAAATTGACCCAAAGAATTGCAGAGCGATAAATTCCATCAAAGGATTGGATGAAAACCGGTGGCACGAAATTTTCCATGCTTCGACGAAGCACCTAAAATTTTTAAAATATTCGTCTGTTTTTCAAAATTCAAAAATATATTACCGCAACTTCCATTTTGAAAATTTCTTTGCATAAAAGCGCGACATTTTGTGCCATCTCAAAAGGTTCGCCAGACTCCGGTTTTTGTCCAGCTCCATTCCAAGAATTCATATGATACAATGTTATTGGCAACATTTTCCCAGCAGCCGCTTCATTCTCATCTTCAATTTCAGACGCAGTCATTTCAAATTCATATTTCGTTACTCCCATACTCAAAGTTTCTTTAGATTTGCAAGCAATGATGAATTTCCCCTTCTTCAATTCAATCTCTTTCGAACTTCCATTTTCAATTTGAAAATATGGATAGCATTTCTTGTCATCTTCTCCAAATTGATCATCATTTGTTAATGAAACCATAACTTTGATTTGATCTTGCCAAACAATTCTCCAAATATCTCGATGATTTTGTTTATTGGGAGCTTGCGCGATGACATATTCCGAATTTTCGAGTTTCACATATTGAGCTGCCACATAATCCTCATCTTTTTCCAATTTAACACGTCTCTTTTCATGAATCGGAATGGGCAAACGAATATTTTTCTCCAGGTTTTTGACAAACCCATCTGCTTGAATTCTAGCATGTCCAGTTACAGATTCATACATATTTTTTGGAGGTTTTGGCAAACCACTCAAATGATTCAGAACATCTTCCAAAGTTTCACCATCTTGGCTCTGAAATTTTAATATTTAAAAATATATATTGTCAGATTTTCAGCTCAAAACCTACCGATGTGCTATTATTCTTCGATCTATTCTTTCTTTTCGTTGTTTCCGTGCTTTTGGTTTGAGTTCTAGTTCTTGGTCCTTTTGCTCATTTCTCGTTTTGTTACTTCTTACACTAAAATCTGAAATACCACATCATGTGGAAATCTGGTGGCAAAAATAGAACACGTTTTTGAGGGGGTCACGCGGAAAATAATTTCGAAGGTATATTTTTTTGGAATTTTTTAGGGGGCAAAATAATCAGAGGGGGGGGGGGGATGAAAAAATTTTTGAAAATTAGGAAAAAAAATCATGAGATTGTTTTTTGTGGCACAAAAATTACAGTAATCCAACTGCATAACATTTTCGAAAGTTGAATCCTGAATTATTGAAACAGAGCTTTTTTTGGAATAAATTTCTTCATACTGTGTAAAAATTTACTACCTTAAATCGCTAGACCTCCAAATTTTTCAAAAATTTTCTGGTAGATCAAAAATAATTTTTCTCTAAATCTCTTCAAGAATTATTTTTGCGTTCAAGGTGGAATTCTTATTTGAATTTCAATATTTTTTATTTTCCAGACACTCTTGTTCTATCCTGAGAAGCCTGGCCTAAACTTTCCAAAATTTTTCTTCATTTCCGTTTCCAACAAATTTCGCCACACTTCTTTCTTTTTTCCGTTCACCACAAACAAAAACAATTTTTCATCGCAGGTTTTTCCATGACAAACAACAGCTGACCCCTGGATGACTTCGTTGAGGCAACAAAAAAACCTACACTTTCATTTGGATAAAAATGATCCAAATCGATTTGTATTCAGGTCCACCTTGGGGTTTCAGAATCTCTCAAGATCAAGAATTGAGGCCGATTATTGGACAGGTTAGCGTATTCAGAAAATTATTTGAAAAATATATTAGGATGTTTCTAGATAATTCCTGGTGGTCGTGGTGATATCGCCGGGTTGAAAATTGGTGATTTGATTCGAAAAATTGGCATAATATCGGTGGCAACATGCCAACAAGCTCATTCTTTGATGCACGCGACCAGAGACAAATTGACTCTTGTGATTGAAAGTTGAGTATTTTTTCTTATCATATTTTAATCGTCAAAAAAACATATTTCATTGATTATTTGTTGAAAAAAAAATGGGAAATTCATGTCGAGGGTAATTATTTTTTCTCGATTTAGATAATTATTTAATTAATAAAATATAATTTTCCAGGAATCCGAGACGAGAAAAATTGAGTAACTCAGTTCAAAATTCGCCGAGGAGTAATGAGATTCGACGGGCGAATGTGTCAGTTCCAAATTCACCGAGGCAGATTCGGATGGATATGATGGCAGGGTCGAAAAATTCAACAGATGTGAGATTTATTAGGGATTCGGGAATTTTTGAGTGTCTTTGGCGCGAATAATCAAAAATTTAAAAATTCAAATTTTTTTGTGCCAAAATTTCTGAATTTTTAAGTAGTTTCTACGTGAACTAAAATAATTAGAACTCAACAAAATATTTTCGAATGGTTTTATTTTTAACTCTGAAATAGTAGAGGAAAATGTGACCAAATGTGAGCCCAAAATACGCTCGGAAAAAATACGGCACCAAGGCGACATCCTGGGGCGCCAAGGCGGGAAGTGCTCTCGCCTCGGCGCTGAAAAGGTGCGCAGAGAGAACGCACCGGCGCTAAAACGGCGCGCGAAGAGACGCACCGGCGCTAAAACGGCGCGCCATTGAGACGAAAAAAATGAAAAAAGTGCGGGAAAGGGGCATCGAACTTGGGTCAAAACAATGACAACCCATCCTCTTATCCACTTGGACACGCTTCACAGTGTTTTTGCCTTGTGGGTACTATAGTACCCCTACTGTGATTTAGGGGTGCAATAGGGGTGATTTTTACCCCTATTGCACCCCTATTGCACCACTAATTGGTAGGGGTTATTTAGTGGTGTGCATTTAAGAAAAACTAAAAAGTACATACCAATCTAAAGCTTCTGAAATTGTTGTCTGAAAAATTTCAATTAGAAAAGCGTCAGTTTGAAAAAGTTATCAACTTTTATTTTTCAAGTGTAGGGGTCGTGTAGGGGTTGAGTAGTGGTCCCGATTCTGGGAAAATGTTTGCATCTTTAAAACAGTGAAAATACACATTTCTTGCGATATAAACACACACAATGCTTCTGAGAGCATTTATTGGCTCCTAACAATCAATGCTGGTCAAAAATTTTCATTTTTTCACTCCAAGAGAAGTCCACTAAAAGTGAGATAATATATATTAAATTTATAACCATTTTGTTCGTCTTGACATTTTGAATTCAATGGTGTATGTCATTTCCTCCAAAAAATGATATTTTAATGCGCGAAAATCAAAAGTAAAGGCGCATGGAATTTAAAACATTGGTCTCGCAGCGTGTTTGCTTGTGTGTACTTCTCACGGACGAGTGGCGTCAAAAATTTTTTCGTTTTTTTTCGTTTGTTTTGTTTGTTTCACGTTTTATGGAGTAATCGAGTGTTCAAAGCTGCGAAAAGTTCATAAAACATGTTCCCCGCCTAGGAACAAGCAAGGAATTCCAGCAGAACTCCAAAATTCACACATTTATATGAATTTTGGGCCAGAAATTAAAATTTTTGATTTTTTCAATGTCAGATAGTAAAACAAGGCTATTTTCAGTTTCATTTAAGTAAATCAACATTTTAATGAGTTTCAATTGAAAATGCCTTCTTAGAGTTGAGAATAAAGTACTTTATATCTAATTTCTTTATTCACTTGTTTTTCATACGTTATAATTTACTACTGTTCTATAATCGGAATATGATTTTTCAGGGCTTCACGAGAAAGAGGCTTTCACCAAATGCGTCAATAAATGGTAAGATGAAGACGAAAAGAAACTCATCGAAGCCAACTTCTCATCGATTCGTGTCACACACACTCAGGTTTGTTAACTTGAATTCAATTGAATATTAAAGTTGAGTTACAATGTTTCCTCCTTTTCAGATGAAGTTCAAATGCTGTCAAAAGATGACGCATTCGGTCGAAATCCAAATCAACGGAGGAACCATCGCTCAAAGGTCGATTGGACTGGTGAACACCTAGAGAAGAAAATTCAAGTTAAAAGCTCGGAGCTGGTAAACACATGGTGAGTGACTTGTTCGATAAAAATACGTACTTTTGACCTGACTCCTGGATTTTGTTGACTTCTATGATTGATGATGGTTGGACTTTTCAAATATGGTTATTTCATTGGTTGTTGAATATTGGATAGTATGGTGAACATAATGACATTGGTGAAATTGGTTGAAACTTACCAATTCCATGGAATCATCATTTTCACGAAGTCACCAGTAAAGTTTGATGTGTTCACCATCCAGTATTCATCATCTCAACCAAAATCATCGAAGTCTTTGAAAATTTACATCAACTACGAGACTATCGCCCATCGGAGTCGAGTCGATAAAAACCCATCGACTCGATTTGACTTGACAACAAAAATTGCCTATAGCAAAATAGTTTGTCTAATTCGATTTATTTCCAGAACTCATACCAATATGGTCCACCAACACGCGTCTATTCGACATCAAATCAACTCAGGATGAATTGGTAGCAACTACTTTGGTGGACTGATGAATCGCCTCCCAAACTCCCAAAAATGTTCGAACTCGAAGCTCAAGTAAATCAACAATTCGACACTTATTGTAAATATTTTTATTCTTTTCGTTTTTTTCGAAAATAAATTGTCAAACTTGAGTCTCATTCTGATTTACCCCTACTGCACCACTACAAAACCACTATGACACCCCTATAGGGGTACTAAAAAAAGTTTGCATAGGGCCCCTATAGGTGTACCTATTACACACACAAGTCAAAAACTTTGTAGTGCCCCTATAGGGGTACTATAGTACCCCTAGGAAAAAACACTGTGCTTGCTACATTTTTAGTGCGGAAAATTTCGATGAAAAGAGAAAAAGAGTCATTTGTATGGTAAGATAATGGATTTTTCATGAAAATGTCGCCTCGGCGCTAAAAAGGTGCCGTATTTTTCCCGAGACTGTAGAAAATTTTCAATTTTTATTCCAAAACTTTTTTTTCCCACAGATCAAACGTCGCTTATTCGAAGACTTCGCCGAAGAAAATAGTCCATCAATGGTGGATCATTTGCTAAAAAAGAAAATCCTCGATGGAAAATGTGAAAATACGGGGGCGCCGAGCAGCAGCTCAATTGGTTACGATAGTGTGGCTCCAGATTTTGCAGGAAGCAGTGAGAAAAGTTCGAGGCGCAGGTTTGTCGAATCAAATTTACATTTTTAAAATATTCCCGAATTTTTTTAGCAGCTCGTCCAGTCAAGAATCAAAAATCGTTCTCGAAGAGGACGAAGTCACCATTTTGGAAAACACTGGTCAGTTTTATATTTTTTAAAAGATTTTTGAGGAGAGGAAATTTTATTTATCAATAGTACAATTGGAGCATTTCTTGCTGCTCAAAAGCAAAAAAGTGTAAAGTGTAGAATAGTGTGGAGATTTGAGAGATTTAGAGATGAAAACAATGTCCACACGAATATATCTATTCTTTTCGTAAAAATGTTCCAAATTCAAAACTTTTTCATTTTTTTTTGGGTAGTAGCCGCCAAAAATATTGCGTTTCAAGGGTTCTCCAAATATTTTTTTGTTTCGTATTTTTTTTATTGCGCGCGGGAAAAAAATGAATTTCGTAAATAAGAAATAAATAAATCAATGTGACTCAACCAACATCTGCCAGTCTTTTCTTGTTAACAAAAAATTGCGATTTGAAACTTTCTATATGTAGTACACAAAAAAATGATCGATTTTGTTTTTCAGTTTTTGCAAAAAAAATTGTTTGTTGTTTTCAGGCCAGGCAGAGGAGAACAAAGAAATGCAGACTTCTCAGGATATTTTCAACAATCCGAATGTGAGTTTTGAAATGTTTGAATTTTTTTGAGAAGTTTGAAATTTGGCGGAGGATTTTAGGGTAAATTTTGAATCGGATATTTTTTCGAAGGCGCTGATCCTTGACGTGTGGTTCTCTAGGCCCGATAACATGACACAGTGGTTTTCTAGGCGCGATACCTTGACACAGTGGTTCTCAAGGCCCGATACCTTGACACAGTGGATCTCAAGGCGCTGATCCTTGAGGTTCTGTTCTCCAAGCGCGGGCCCTTGCCACAGTGGTTCTCTAGGCCCGATACCTTGACACCGTGGTTTTCTAGGCGCTGATTCTTGAGGTTCTGTTCTACAAGCGCGGGCCCTTGACACAGTGGTTCTCTAGGCCCCGATACCTTGACACAGTGGTTCTCAAGGCCCGATACCTTGACACATTGGTTTTCTTGGAGCGGACCCTTGACACAGTGGTTCTCTAGGCCCGATACCTTGACACAGTGGATCTCAAGGCGCTGATCCTTGAGGTTCTGTTCTCCAAGCGCGGGCCCTTGACACAGTGGTTCTCTAGGCCCGATACCTTGACACAGTGGATCTCAAGGCGCTGATCCTTGAGGTTTTGTTCTCCAAGCGCGGGCCCTTGACACAGCGGTTCTCTAGGCGCGAACCATTGACACAGTGGTTCTCTAGGGCGCGGATCCTTGACATAATAGTTCTCAAGGCGCGGTCCCTACATTATTAGGTTTTCAAGATTCGGCTACTAGACACCTAGGATTTATAGGTTCGGCTACTTGACACACAAGTTCTGAAGGCTCAAAAATGGCCTTCAAGATTCAGAATTTAATTTTTTGGGCACAATTTTTATCTTTGGAGACTACAATCCTGTTTAGTCCGAGGTCCCATTTATAAAATCCCGTATTTCCAACCCCCCTCTCCCCCAAAAATTTCCAAAACCCCATAAAAAATAATCGGATGACTAAACCATGGTTGATTGATTTTTCCCGTCGCTCGCTTTCTGTTTCTCTGTAATCTGATACTTTCCTGAAATAAATTCTGAAATAAATACCTTTTTCCCTCCCTCATCATAATTCTTTTTTGTCCGAAAATATTTATGTTTAAAAGTGCTAATAGATAATTACATAGGGCTGTTTTACGGATCAATGAACCGTGTCGGAAGGTGTTCCCAGCTTCCCTTTACTTGGAAAAGTGTTGCGAGGGAACACTTTTCCATATTTATTATAAATCTCTGGTTTTTTCCAGGTTTCATTGAATCCACAACATAATTCTGGCTATTATCCGGCTCCAAATCAATGGAATTTACGAACTCAACATAATAATAATATTATGCCGGCTCAAGGAGATATTGAGGTAGGCTATGATTTATGAGACTATTTTTTTGCTTTGAGAAAAGCTGGAAAAGAGAGCTGAAAAATATGATTCTTTGGGTTTTTCTCTTTTGAAAATATATTTTTTTGAAGGAAAAAATCTGGAATATTTTTGGAGAACTACTACTTTTTTGTTATTTTTTTTGGATTTTTAGCAGAAATGAAAAATAATTTTCCACGAATTTCCAGAATTTTAAACAGATTTCTGAAAGAATTAATTTTTTCTACAGAATTTTTCAAAATTAAAAAAAAATTCCAGAAAGTTTTGAAAATTTGAATTTCAAACTTCTTGAATTGTTTTTGGGTTATTTTTCAGAAATTCTTTTGACATACTCGATTTTAATTTTCTTGGACTTCAGAAAATTGAAAAAAATGTTTTTTTCTGAATTTTCAACAATTTTGGGAAAAAATTATTTTTTTGGGGAATTTCAATAACGAAATTTTTTATCCCGACCTATACAGAAATAAAAAAAAAGTTTTTTTTGTAAATTTCAGAATTTTGAAGAATATCCTGAAATAATTTATTTTTTGGGAAAAAATGTTGAAAATGAACTTTAAAAATTTTGAATTTCGAAAAATTTAAAATTCTTGAAGTGTTTTTTGGGTTATTTTTTAGAAGTTCTTCTAGATTTTTATTATTTTGAACTTAAGAAATTTCGAAAAAAAAGTTTTTTCTGAATTTTCAACAACTTTTGGAAATAATTTTTTCGGGAATTTCAATAACGAAATTTTTTATCCCGAGAAATTAAAAATTTTTTTTTAATTTCAGAATTTTGAAGAATATCCTGAAATAATTTATGTGTTAGGAAACTTTTTGGAAAAGTTGAAAATGAACTTAAAAAATTTAAAATTAATTTTAAAAATTTTGAAAAATTTTAAATTCTTATTTTAAACATCCATTTTTTATTTTTGCTGCATTTTTTAATTTAAAAATTTGCTTTTTGTGTCAATTACCCACAGTTCTCTCAAATTCATCAAATTAAAAAATTTCCAAATCTCCACCCAACTCTATTTTTTCCAGATTCCCGAACGACGCGGCGTTGCCGCCCTCCGCCAAGTAATCAACGATCGACTCGAAATGAAAACCCCAACTGGAGGTGTAAGCGCCTCAAACAACAATAATCGCCCCAAAACCCCACAGCAACCAACAATTTATTCCGAAAAACCATCGTGGGCTGCAAATGTCAAAGTATACGAGCCAGATGGATATGTCGATCCACACGCCAATAAAAATAGTTTGGGTCGAGTTCTCGATGGCCCAGTGGAGCCCACCAAATACTTCCAAGGGGTTCCTCCACCAAGCTTCAGTATAACTGGTCATAAAATCACTCCTCAACCAATTGTGAGCAAACCACCAGCTCCAAGAACATCTACAACTATTCGATTGCCTCCGGAAATGTCACAACACACGTTTCGACCAACTTTTATCGAGAATTCTTCGAATCATGAAGATATTGATGATGGAGCATCAATGATCTCATCTTGTATCTCAACATTTGGAGAATCTTCAGAAGTTGCAGCTTTGAGTGCAGCTGGAAGTCAAAGATATTTATATGATCAATATAGAAGAGGACTTTTGAATGAGAAAACGATTCCAGAAGAGATGTCAACATCAATAACATCTACAAAATCTGAAATCACACCACCTGTCTCGATTTTCAATACAGATATTCAATTAACACCGTTTGGACAGGTCGATAAACCACGTGGAAGGTCGAGTTCAATGGATTTGGAATCCTCAGAGCTTCTGGTGAAATCTAAATCTCCTGCACCATACAATTCTCAATCTGCGGATCATTTTGGAACAATCCGCAGAAAACATACACCGGTTAGGATGGAAGTTACTCCAACTCCAACCGAGCAAGCAGCGCCAGTTGAGCAACGAAATTATGATAGTGGATATGAGGGATCGAATGCGATTTCACCGGATACACAGGCGAATTTGGATAAAGCTCTTTCGGAAGCTTTTGAGTTGGCGTCGTCGTTGTCTTCTTCGATTAATTTGCCGAATGAAAGTGAGTTCGGGAATTTTTAGGAATTTGGAAAAAAAAATTTGAAAGATTGAATATTATTTTCGGGAAATCAGGAATTTTTTAAAAGTTCAAAAAAAAAATTTTTTTTGAAACACATTTTCCAAAAAAAAAACATCCTGAATTTTCATGTAAAAAATTCCAAATTAAAAAAAGTTCCAAAAGTTGTTACAACTTTTTTACGGAAAATTTTCAGACTTTGAAACAAATTGTTTAGAAAAGTTTTACATTTCAAATAGCCTCTGAAATTTTTTCCAAAAAAAGTTCCAAAAGTTCCAATACAATTTTTTTCGGAGCATTTTTTCGGGATTCAAAAAAACCAAAATTTTCTAGAATCAAAGTTCAGGAGATCTTTCAAAAAAAATGATTTAAATTTTTTTTCGAGACAAAATTTTCAAAAAAACATCCTGAATTTTCATGTAAAAAAATCGACATTAAAAAAGGTCCAAAAGTTGCTACAACTTTTTTTTACGGAAAATTTTCAGAATTTGAAACAAATTGTTTAGGAAAGTTTTACATTGAGAAATTGTTTCCAAAAAAGTTTCGGAGCACTTTTTCCGGATTCTAAAAAAACCAAAATTTTCACCCAACCTTATTTTTTTCCAGGCTTCATGACACCTTCCTCTTCTTCGCTAAACAATGACCGACCTGAAAGTGAGTGCGCAAAAATTCAAATAAATAAATTTATTTATTCAAAAATGTAGCATCATATGTTTGCAATGTTTGCAGGCTTTATAATATCTTCGCCCTCCTCTCATACGCCCCGCCTTTCACAACAAGAAAATATTGGAAATTGCAATATTGTTGGTTCACTCCAAGACTCCAAGACTCAACCAACTTCTGATCTACTTGATGTTGGCTCGATGCCAAAAAGACATGAGCCCGAAATGTCGCAATGGTATCGACAAATGTTCAAACAAATGCATAAGACGGGTGTCGATGAGCCAAGAGGTGAGCATATATTTGTTTTTGAAATATAAAAATTCATATTTTTGTTTTGCTTGAGACAACATTTTCTAATTTCAAAATTCCAACTAAAACTTCTACATTTAACAAAATTTTTTTTGTGCTTCCGCGCCTTATTGACAAACTAACACAAAGAGTACACAATGTACTCTGAAGTGCTAAATAACTAATAATTTACACAAATATTGTACATATGGGCCCTTTTTTTTACCCAGAAAAAAACACATAATTTTTTCATTTGCTCAGCAATTTGATATCCTTTTTTAAAGGGTGTCATGAGGAAACTTTCTATTTTTTTTCATTTTTCGAAGAAAATTGCTCAATTGTCCGAACACTTTATTCTTTCCAGCAAAAAAAAGAAGTATTTTTTTTTCAAAAAAAAAAAAAATAATCCCCCCCAAAAAATTTTCGCGGAGAGTTTAGAGAAAATAGATAAATTTGTGTACATGCTTGAGGTTTTGCGCGCAGCCAAAAAGAAGAAGCACAGTTTTGATATTTGTAAATATATATATATATATCGAACTATATATTATTTTATTGGTAGTTATTGATTTTGTTCTCGCAAAAAATTGTTGGAATTTTTGCATTTTCCACTGTTTATTTTTTTGAGAGAAAAAACAAAAAAGTTTTTTGTTTGTCGAGAAAAATGATGGAATTTTCAGGAGGTGGAGAACATTTGGACTTGGCAACTATTTCACAAGGTTGGTTTTTTTATTAAAAAAAATTTAAAAAAAAGGATTTTTGAAAGCTCGAAAAAATTCATGTTTTCTGGCTCTCAATATTTTTCTCCAAGAAAATAAATATAAAATTCGTGATCTACAAGAAATTCTGACCCTGGAACACTATTTATTCGAAGAAAAAAAAAATTTAATTCCACTAGCGGGCTCGAACCCACCACCTCTTGATTGCTAGATGAACCTCTAACCAAAACCTCCCCCATTATTCTGTGCAAGGGAATCTAGAAGCTAGATACCTCAAACGCGTCAGCAAATCTAGCAGCTACCAAAAAAGCGTCAGCAACATTTTTTTGGATTCTTGAACAGGTGCCAAAATTATTTTTTTGAAAAAGGAAAACATGTGTAAAACATCTGGTAGTCAAAAAATCTAGACTTTTTATTTGGTAGTACTAAATTCTAACCAAAATTTGAATTTATCTACCGAAAAATGTCTGAATTTCAACAGCCAAGGTTTTCAAGAGGTATCTCGCTAAACTTACCATAACTCACTTCCCCCATTTCCAGGCCGAGTAACTCCGCAAAAAGTAGAAGTTGAGATTGAACCACGTCGTGCAAGATCAGTTGGACGAGTTGTTGAACAATCAGAAGGTAAGATTTGCACTTTTTCAGTAGAAGCCCTCTTGAGGCAGAAATTCAATTTCCGTTTTTTTCGTCTTGAGTGAGTGATTTTTCGCCTGGTTTCACTTACTACTTTTTTCTTATTCCCTTTTTGCCTGATTTTTTCGCCTAACTTGTGTGATTTTTCCATTGATCTAACAGAATCAACAAATCGATTTGCACTGGAGCGTTCGAAAACTTCTCACTTCCATCTTCCATCCTATAAATTTCAACATGAAGATCCGCGGCCGATTCGATGTTCCATGAAAAAATGCGAGGGTTTTCCGTGTATGATTTGTGGAAGACCGAGAAGAGATCCGAGTTTTGAGGATGTTGATCGGATGTATTTTGAGATGGAGAAAAAAGGTGGAGGGATGAGAGAAGAGTGCAGAAGAAAATGGGTGGGTTTGTGAAAATTTTGAACTGAAAAACTTTGCTTAAAATTTTTCTGAATATTTTGTAAATCAAATTTTCTTCACAATCTGTCCCCAAGTTTCCCCTACTCCCCCGAATGGTTTGAAGTGCCTAACCCAACTAAAAAAATTCCAGAGTTACGTCAAGTTACTGACAAGTTAGATGAAACAACCCGCGAGTTGGATCATTTTTATCGAAAGTCTTCAGAGAACTTGGCAACGCTCCAAATCCCAGCCTGCGATTCGTTTAACAAATCAAAGTTTGTCTACTAACCAAGATGATTCTAATTACAGTAATCGCAACAAAAAACCAGAAAAACTTTCCAGGATCACCATCAAATCTTGCGTCAGAAATCGAAGATTTGAAGAGGATATCTCGAGAAAAAGTTCTGATTCGTCAAAAAGCTGAAAAACTCACAGACGAGTTACAAAAAGAGAAAGAAAGAAAACACAATTATATTCCATCATCAGCTCCTTCCCTTCAAAATAATATGGATAGATTCGAAGGTTTAGTTAACAATTATTCAACTACTGTAAATCCCCGACAATCTGCACCGCCAACAACTACAACAGCTACAGTAATCTATCGATTTGATGGTAGATCAAATCGCGAATTATCTTTGCTGAAAGGTGATATTGTAAGGATTATCAGAGAGGTTGATTCACATTGGTTGGAAGGAGAAAGAAATAGGAAAATTGGGATATTTCCGGCTAGTTATGTTCAAATTGATAGTGAATATGATAATAGAAATCGACAGAAAATGAGAGCTATTTACCCGTTTACTTCGAGAAATTCCAATGAGCTTAGTTTGAAAAAGGTTAGTCCGGGGAAATTTTTTTAAAAATCCAAAAAAAATTTTTTTTTAAATTTCAGGGTGAAATTATTACATTCCGCCGGGAAATTGATCAAAATTGGATGGAGGGAACAAATCAAATTGGAACTATTGGTATCTTCCCATCTTCCTATGTTAGACTTATTTCAATTGAACCACAACCCCAAGACACAGTAGTTATTCCGGATAGACCAAAAACCCCGAAAATTAATCATGAAGAGCCGACAACAACGCATAAAGTTAGATTTGAAAATGAGCCAAGGATACAGAAGGATGATTTTAGAAGTAGGCAAGATGAAATTATTCAGAATATTTTTCAAGGTATGTTGATTGAATAGGGAATCATGAAATATAAAATGAGGTTTTTGTAGATTCCAAAAGTTCGTGTATGGAATATCAGCGGAAACCGGAATATGCAACAGAGCAAAATTATCATAGAAAACAACCGGAGGCGGCGACGGTGATTGAGAAACCGAAAAATGATATTCGAACAAATGCGGCGGCTGTTATTCCGAAAGGATCGGAAATGTGAGTTTTGAAATTTATTGCGAATAAAAATTCTAGATTCAAATTTGTGTTCCAGAGCTCCTGAAAACTTATTTTTAAAATTTAAATTTTGAAAATCTTTTTTTTAATTCTACATAGCTTCTAATTTTCAACTTTGTCCGAAAAATTTTGAGAATCCATGAAACATTTTTTTAATTCAAAAATTATTCCAAACCTCAAAACCAAATGAATTTTTCTATAGTTATTTAGAAATTAAATGAATCTGAACTCCAAGTTTCCAAATTTCTAGATTCCATTTTGAGTTCGAGAGCTCCTGAAACATATTCAAATTTTGAAAATGTTTTTTTTTGAATTCTACTTTCTAATTTTCAACTTTGTCCTTGAGAATCCACGAAATATTTTTAGAAGTTCAAAAAATTATTCCGAATCTCAAAACCAAATAACTTTTTCTGCAGGTATCTAGAAATTAAATAAATCTGAACTCCAAGCTCCGAAAATTCTAGATTCAATTTTGTGTTCAAGAGCCAGAGCTCCTGAAAAATATTTATCAGATTTTTAAAAATTTTCAAAATCTTTTTTTTCAAATTCTAGTGTCTAATTTTCAACTTTTTCCGAATTCAAAAATTATTCCAAACCTCCAAAAAACCCAAGTTTCTGCAGGTACCGCGCCGCATTCGCCTATCGTCCTCAAAAGAAGACGAACTCGAACTTTTCGTCAACGACATCATATTTGTTGTCGAAAAATGCGATGACGGTTGGTTCATCGGAACTTCTCTGCGATCTGGAGATTTCGGAATTTTCCCCGGTAATTATGTGCAACGCCATTAGGAATTCAATTTGTTTTTTTTCTTTTTTTTCTTTTTCATATACATATCCCGGTCTTGAATCAAGGTTCATTGATTTTCCATTTTTGAAACCAAAAAAAATGCTCGAATACTTTTATTTTTATAAATATCTATAACGTTTTTTCAGTTAAAAATTTAGGTTTTGTAGAAACATTAAAAACTTTCCGACCAATTGGAATCGTTCCAAATGTGCACATCCATTTCATATAAACACATAATATTTTAATACTTCCTGGAATAAAATGACTGTGTCGATTATACAAAATCGAATCTGTAATCTCATTAGCAACAACTTCTGGAGGTATCACATCCCAAAATGTGCTATGAGGTTCTTGAAGATTTTTCAAGAATGGTGTATTCACAAAATATGGATAAATAGAGGTGAGGATAATATTCTTCTCCAATTCCAAATCAAAAATCTCCGCTTGCAAACTTTCCAAGAATCCTCGTGCCGCAAACTTCGAGGAACAATACGCTGACCCGGAAGCCTCTCCAAAATGTCCACAAATACTTCCAATTGATACAATGTGCCCCTTTTTCGCCTCAATCATTTTACCAAGGAATGTTTTGATGGTGAAAATATGGCCGAGGTAATTCACTTTGCTGTTCAAAATATAATCATCATTTGTCAATTCAGTGACAGAACCAAATTTGAGAATTGCCGCGTTTGCAATAACAATGTCAACAACTCCTGAAAAGGAAAAGATAATTGGTTTGTTATTTTTTTTTGTTGCTTTTTCAAAAGAGAGAACAAAAATCAAAAAACTCACCAAAATTTTCATCGGCCTCTATACGACTTCTCACATCTTCCAATTGTTTGTCACTGGACACATCGCATTTATAGAATTTTGCAACTCCTCCAAGATCCACGATTTCTTCTTCGGTTTTCAGGCCTTCGGCTTCATTGACATCGAGAATGACGACTTTTGCGTTTTGCTCAAGGCAAAGTTTTTTGGCGAGTTGTTTTCCTATTCCCATTGCTCCACCAGTTATCACAACTATCTGCAGAAAAACATTTTTTCAAAAATTATGTTTTTGTGGATTTCCTGTGCTTATGGAAAAACATTGCCGCCAGGCATGTTCATTTTGCCGGCAACGCCGGCCGTTTGCCGTTTCAAAAACGGCGACGGCAGCCGCTGCTGTTTTGAAAAAATAACACAGAACAGCATGCCGTGGCTGCCGTGCCGAAATGCCGGCATTGCTGTCTATTTCGTGAAGAAAATTGTCGAAATCATCGAACAAATCCTCCAAAAACACTCTGAATTAATGAGAAAAGGAGCTTGAGACACGCGCGCGCGAGACTGTTTAAATAAATTGTGTGTGCGACGGTTTTCGGGTTGCGCGCTGTTGTGTGTGTTGTGTGCAGGGGGCGGAGCGACGACCTTCCCCTTCCCATTTCGAAAAACGGCAGCCGGCCGGCAAGCCGCGGCTGCTGTTTTTTGCTATTTTCTTCTTTGCTGCTCGGCCAGCAAAACAGCGAAGCCACGCCCACTCGGCAGCCGTGCCGTCCGGTCAGCAGGCAGAATGAACATGCCTGATTGCCGCGTCCGCGGAAGCTTGCGGTTTACACTCGCGGATAGAAAAACCTAATCTGGGCATTTCCACACTGCACTCATGGTGTTCCACACTGCCTATGACCTTAGCAATCTATTAGAAAAAATCAACTATATCCGTTAAGCCTAAGCTTAGTTATCCTAACTTCAAATGTTGAACAACGTTGTAACGCATTCGTTTGAAAACAGTTTCCTTTCCACCAACATCACAGGCTTTTTGAAGACGTATGCGCGATGTGCGCGCGCGAAGGCGCCAGCCAAAAATAATGGGTTTGGTGCAAGCGCGCATTTTGTCCAATCTGGCAGGTTAAGCAACGTTGACTCGAGTTAGTGGTGAGTTCGGACTCATCCAAAAAGTTGCTTTGTACAGTTTCAATTCTGTTTGGGTAAAGTTTAGGGACTCTAGTGGAGATGATCTTCACAATCAGATGCCAAGATGGTTCATCCTGAACTCCAGTACGACCATCGGAAGATCGAGAGTCTGAAATTTCCATCAAAAATTCAAAGTTTTTGAATTCTTCTCAAACTTTCAGAACATTCTACTGAAGTCTTGTGGCAATCAAAATGATCAAAAATTTCGATTTTTTGTATTCCTGATCTGATTTTCACCGTCATCAGATACAATTGATAATTTTCGATGATGATTTCTGATCTTCTGATGGTCATACTGAAGATCAGGATGATTTAAAATCACAGATCTTGATGGCCTTGAAGTCCAAGGTGTCCCAAGACAAACTTCAGAAATTTTCATAATTTTTCAAAAATGTTCAGAATTTCGCCCTGAATCTTGATCTTCTGATGGTCATACTGAAGATCAGGAATACAAAAAATCGAAATTTTTGATCATTTTGATTGCCACAAGACTTCAGTAGAATGTTCTGAAAGTTTGAGAAGAATTCAAAAACTTTGAATTTTTGATGGAAATTTCAGACTCTCGATCTTCCGATGGTCGTACTGGAGTTCAGGATGAACCATCTTGGCATCTGATTGTGAAGATCATCTCCACTAGAGTCCCTAAACTTTACCCAAACAGAATTGAAACTGTACAAAACAACTTTTTGGATGAGTCCGAACTCACCACTAACTCGAGTCAACGTTGCTTAACCTGCCAGATTGGACAAAATGCGCGCTTGCACCAAACCCATTATTTTTGGCTGGCGCCTTCGCGCGCGCACATCGCGCATACGTCTTCAAAAAGCCTGTGATTTTCCCCTCGGGAGAAAAGAGAGATGTGGCCGAGAGGGTAACATTTTAGACTGGCGAGCATGAGACCAGGGTTCGAATCCTCCTGCCCGCGGACTTTTTTTCGAAAAAACTTGAAAATTTCACGCTGCACATTTTTTTGAAAAAAATTTTCACAATGCACAAAAAATTTGGGACACTCTCTCGTCAGGTGTGCATCTCTCACCTGTCCCGCAATATTCTTCTTGCTTCGAAACAAAATTCTTGGCAGATCAGAAAACAGCACAATAAAAAGATAACCGAAAATAAAATAGAAAACAATGCCAATTCGATAGGCCAGCGACTCGCGTGTCATTTTTGTTGTTGTCTCGATTCTTTAATTTCAGCTGTAAGTTTATATAGAGAAGAAGAAACAATAGATGGACATTAGAGAAGAGAGGAACGATGAGAAACTGGAATTTTGTACTTGAAATTTTAATTGATGGTTGTTTTTGTTCCGCAATTTGTATAGGGTCAAGTGAACAGAGAGAAGAGAAACAAATTTGTAATTTGAGATGAGGTAATAAAAAATTTCATATTCTTTCTTTTTCTCATAAAAATCCCTATAGACCTGGTTGTAGCTAGAAAAATAGGTAACAATGAAGAAAACTGATTCTGGAAAGATTATAAGTCAAAAAAAAAGGTTTGATAATAAAACTATCTCTTACCTACCTTTCATGTGTGGCCAAAACTGTAAGTAAAACCGGTTCGGTTCAGAATTAGCAAAAATCGGTTCCAACAAATTTTTACGAGAGAGAGACATTGAGATTTCCCGCTGTGTTTTCTCAATTCAAAAATTTTTGACTAAAGAACAAAAAAACTTTTACATGATATCATAATAGTAAAAAGTTAAGGATAAATAAAAGGTCACATTCTTCACAACTGTATTTTTTAGAAAATAATAACATATACATAAAAAAATGTTGGGTGATCTAATCGTATTATGACAAAAACCTGCTAAAGATTTCCTTTTCCTTCACTTTTTGATGGTTGTGAATTGTAAAAAAAAAATATGTTTAAATAAAGATCAAAAAATTTGTTCATATATTTAGAAGGATGAATATTAAAATAAAAAAAATCAGAAAAATATGTGTAAATAAATAATATGTACAATAGAAGAACCTGTAGTCACCGAGATGAAACAATAAAAGTTGAAACTAAAGTCAAATAATTACACCAAGTTCTCATCGGTGAACCAAGTTTTTTTGTCCAACACAATTAGTTCTCCACATGCAATAGTTAAACTGATTCCATTTTCTGAACACGATGATTTATGGGCTTTTCGGCATTTTCGAAGAACTCGACCGATTGCGGCGTCTTGACGATCTTGGGAACAATCTTCGAGTTTTAGCATGATCGTTCGCTCGGTTTCACTGAAAATTGAAAATGTGAAATATGAAATTTGAATTAAAAAAATTAAATCCAAATGTCTACTAGAGCGCATTTGCTTCAATTTTATTTTTCTTCACGACCATACAAGGCGCCCGTTGAGTCAGACGCGAGACGACGAGAGTATTTTGCAAAAATATCTCAAAAATGAATTTCGCTTCGAGATATTTTCAATAAAACATGTGTTCCTTGAAACAAAGTACGGTATTTTTTCAAAGGGACACATATTTTCTCAAAAATATCTCGAAGCGATGTCTTTCTCTGTCTCAGATGACGTCATCAGACTCTCGTCGTCTCTCGTCTGACCCGAGGGGCAATTTTCTATTGGAGTAAATGGTCGTGTCTTAAACATTCTTTAACAAACTCACTTTGATAAATTGAGCCAATAACTAATAATTTTAGCAGTGTCGGTAATTGTAGATTTTGCCGTATGAATAACTTCGAGTAAACTTGTGTTACTTAAATTGATCAATGCACAAATGACACTATTCCTCAATTGACAATTCTGAAGATCAAATGATTCATCAACTTGAATCAAAAGACTATCAAGATTCGATAAAATTCTTCGAGCAGCTGGTTGAGCATACAAATCCGCTGTGATGTTTTGTCCAATCACAGCCAATTCTGTCAACGTAGCAGGCGCGGACATCTCAAGAACATCATCATTTGTAATCCCATCAACATCGGTTAAAATCAACGACGTCAATTTTTTCTTGGAAATTGCGTCAATTAAATATGGTCGACTGAATTGATCATTACGATATGGTTCGTATTGAAGTTGTGTGAGTTTGACGCATTGCGAAACTGCTGTCCATAATCTCAAAGCTTGTTCGGATGAATGAACCTTGCAATATCGCAATCGAAGACTTCCCAATGTTCTTCGAGACAACATCAAGAGTGCCGAAAGTGTTTCCATATCATTCATCCGAGTACTTCCAACAACTGACAAGTTTTCCAAATGGAATCTCTCACATCGATTGCTATTATTGTTCATAACTTGGTAGAAATCAATAATTGTTTGCATAATTATTGAATTTCCAATCGAATCCAAAATCAATTCTTTGATCCCACTCACATGACTCACTGAAAAAATTGGGATTTGATATGAATTTGGATTTATTTTATTGGGTGGCTAGGGCTTACCAATTGTTTTGAAAATAAGCGCAATATTCTCATGTTGGAATGTTAAAACATCTCCCAGATATTTGATTCCTTTGCAATCTTTGAGAACTGTTTCGACAAGAAGATCGAGATGATCACAATAAAGTTCATAGTTTCCACGAATATCCGAGCGAATTAGCAAGAATGGGATGATTATTGCGTTGCGTTCGAATAACTCACGACGTTTCTAGAAAAAAAAAATGCGGGAGTTTTGATAAGTTTCGGAATTTGGTAAAGAAGACAATCTAAAAATTCCAAAAATCCTAACAAACCTTCTCCTCCTTGATTTGTTTTTGCTCCTCTTTCCTATATTGAAAATCAGCCTGAAACTCCTCTTCACAATTCACCAACGGAATATGATTTCCAATCTTGATTCTACCAAACTTCAAAATCTTCCTCTGCGCACTCTCAATCCCTCTCTTCAATCCCTTCTTAGCCAACTTCAGAATATTCTTCGAAGCTCTTGTTCTTCTTGTGGCTGCTGCAGTAATCTCCATTTTGTTGTGGTTTTTTTATTCTGAAAAAAATAAGGCAACTATAATTATTTTCTATATAAGAATGAAAAAAAAGGAGAATAAGAAGGAAACGAGTAAATATAAACAAAACTAATTTTAGGTGGAACTGAAGCAAAAAACACATGTGTCTGCTCTTGCTCTGTCACCTATTTATACATATGATTTTTGGCCACGCCCACTTTTGAGACTGGGAAATTACGGTAAACAAAAAAGAGGGGGTGGAACAATGGATTATCTACCTACATATATATATATTTTGTGCTGATAAGATATTTGAATATAATTTTCAAAGTGCTCTTGAAGTTCTGGGAAGTTTGAATGATCAAATTATGAAATCTAGAAAGAAATTTGTTCTGGAAGAAAAATTGGAAATTTATGAAGTTCAGAGTTCAGAGAACGTGAAAAATTTCGATTTTTGAACCTGTGGAAAATCACGAGACAGCTGAAATTCCAAAAATCAGACTGTGTGCTCTAAAAAATTCCTGGTACAATTTGCAGGTTCGGAAAAAGTGACTCCAAAAAAAAGAGGAATTTTTTGAACTTTAATAAATGAATTCTCAAATCGCGTGAGCTGAAAAGAATTTTTTTGATAAAATTTGTGCCATTTGAAATTCCAGAATTTTTTTTAGAGATCTATTTTCCAAAAAAAAGGTCAAAGATACTCTGGGAATTCAAAACGCACTTTCAATTTCAATTTTAATTTTCTCAAGAACACTTCTTCAACTTATCAAAACTCAAATCTACCGCCAAAAAAAAACACACATATTTCTATCACTTCTCATTTGTTTCTTTTTTATATCCACCCAGGTGTTATTTACAAGTAGATATAAATCTCAAAGAGCCCTATTGTTTTGATTTTGTTTATATAAATAAACAAACATGTCAGGCGGCACCTTTTTTGATCATTTTTTCGCACGTGTCAACTCCAAGTTTTGTTTATGTTGGAAAGTTAGTGGAACTCTTTCTCATGTAATAACTCTTGCGTAAAATATGAGTTATTATTATTTGTAATTGTTTTTTTTAGTTAATTGGTATTAATTACTATGCACTTCCGTTTTTAATTAGGATAGGGGAATTGTTGGAGGTGAGATTCTAGATTCTGGATTCTAGATTTCAGAAAACTCAGGAATCATTTTGATTGCTTGTCGTTCTAGAGCATTGCTCATGTCAGCTTATACATATTTTTCATATTGCTGAACCTCAAACATTGCTCATGCTAATTCTAAAATCCACAAGATTCCAGAAGATCTTCCTGTTATTCACAATTTTTCCGGAAATGAACTTTTGCAAAGCATAGTTCAAAAAAAAAATATGAATAATACTTCTTCTAAAAATAACTTGGTATCACCCACTCTCCATTTTTTGTGTCTTCCAAATTTTTCGAAGCGGAAAAAGTGACGAAGAAAAACAAGACGACAATAAAATATGTTGGGTGCGCGGCTTAATTAATTGGAAGCATTTCCGAGTGCGCGAGAGATGTGTGTTGGAGACAAAAAAAAAAACAAAGGGAAATGGTGTTAGTTGGGGTGTGAAGAGAAATTGGATTCCATAGATATTTGCCGACAAAAAGAAATCAAGCTGCGAAAAAAATAGTTACAGTATCTACAAAGGATTTGGAAAATTAAGTAAGTAAGTGGAAAAAAAGAGAAGCAAGAGTAGGGTCTAAATAATTCAACGAATAAATTAGATATGTTAATTGGACACGCGGCGAGCTCAGGAATTTTTTATTCAGAAATCAGGTATGAGATCTGAGAAGGGGAGGGGGTCTGAGGATTTGAAAACTTGAGAATTGAAATTTGGAGTTGAGAAAATTCAGAGGGAATTTCTGAAGCGTTTAACATGAGCAACATTCTATAAATTCTGGTTCCAAAATACTTGGCATTTATTATTAATATAATATGAGCAATAATTTGTAAATTAAAAAAAAAAAAATTTCTGAAGCCTTTCCTGAAAAATAGATCACAAACTTAAAAATAAACACTTCAATATTTCGAATTTTTTAGTTAATATGAGCAATGATTTGAAATTCTGAAATACTGGCTCAGGTTTTTCTGAAACTTGGAAACTCGGAATCTCTGAAATCCAAGGAACTCTGAAGCCTGGGTCCTAAAATTCAGAATCCAAGCTTCCGATTTCAAAATATCTTTAACCTAAGCTATTCATCTTTTCTGAAATTCTAAAAATGTATTTTTAGCATCCCGAAAATTATTCAAAAAATCCCGAAAAATGCATCCTCTCATCCAAGAATATTCCATCAAAAGCAAAAGCAAAAAAAACACAGAAAAGGTTCATAAATTATGCTGAAAAATTGATGAAGGCAGAAGCAGCGGCGAGAAAAAATAACAATGAAAAATGTTCGCGCTCGAATAAAATACGAAGAAAGAAGCTTTGTCATCGCCGGAGGGCAATGAATCCTCAAAAAAACACAGAGAGAATGGAATGGGGCGGGGCTTTTGAGGAGCACAAGAAGAGGGGGGGGGGGTAATGGAGAAGGAGGGGGAAGGGCGAAAGAGGTCAGGTGTACTGTATCTAGATTTGAATTTGGTCAAATGAACTTGGAGGATTTAAATTGTGAAAAAAAAGAAAAAAGTTGAGGAATTTTGAATGAGGCAGGTGGGAGAAGTGTCAAACTTGGAAAAAGATAAATTTGGAATTCAGGAGAAAAATTTTTAGAGGATAGGTTTTAAAGTTACGGAAACTATTAAAGAATTCTGAATATTTCAAAAAATCCTACCAGGAATTTTTGAGGGAATTTTGAGCTTTTCAAAATTTTTATATTCAATAGGCCTAATTTTCTGGAATATTTTTTTGTTGGTAATTTTTCTGGTTTCTAAAAAAAATACTTATGACGTGGCAAAATTTGGGAAATATTTTAGGAGTTAAAGTATTTGATTTCTGCCACGTATTAAAAATTAGTAATCCAAAATCTCCTAATTTTTTTCTCATCACAAATATTTCACGTCATTTCCGCGCAGAAAAAAAAGCAAAACTAGAAAAAAATAAAACAAAAAAAAAATCATTGGTGCATAATTAGCCTCCATCTCTCTTTTCTCTCTTTTTCAGAGCGTGTTCAAAAACTTTTTTTTTGCTTTTTGGCGCCAAAAAAACACACCCAGATACACACCCAGAATTTGAAAAATGTTGCCATGTTTTTTTTTTGGCGGACAGCGGGTGAAGACATACGACCGACATGTTATTAATGAGAGGAAACAAAGTTTGAATTTGACTTTGTGTCTTGTCGGATATGACATTGACACGTGGCAGCAGCATATGAACAAACAAGGCAAAAAAATGGCCAAAAAAAATGAAATGGAAAAAAATGGGGGTGACGTTTTTTGTGTTGAATATTAGATGAACGTGGCAGTTTTTGCTGTTGTTTGACATCGCAAAAAAACACTATTCATTTTTGAATTTATTATTGCCATTTTTTGAGGCTGTTGTTCATTCAAAAGAACTATTGATGTACTAAAAATAGATGGAATTTTGGGGGGGATAATTGAATTTTTGTATCTGGATTCTGAAAATCACCGAAAAATTCGAACTTGACAAATATTTTTGAAACTTGCTGAATTTTCATCAAAAACTTCTGAAAAAAATTTGGAAAACTTCTCCAAGTCTAAATTTGATAGTATTTTCTGAGTTCTAGCTCAAAATTTTAGCCCCTAATGGTTTCGTTAAGCCTAAGCCAAAGGGTTCCCTCAAGCCTAAGCCTAAGGGTTTCGTTAATCCTAAGCCTAAAGGTTCCGTTAAGCCTAAGCCTAAAGGTTTCGTTAAGCCTAAGCCTAAGGGTTTCGTTAAGCCTAAGCCTTAGTTGAAAAATATTAGACATTGCTCATATTAGTCATGAAGGATTGCTCATATTACAAATTTTTCTGAATTGTCAAAAAAACCATTTAGCCTGACTCAAGCCTAATGTAATTAAAAAAATCCTAACGGAAGCTAAATAAAATTTTCAAGTCAAATTCTAAGCCTAAGCCTTCCTTTTCCCACACCAAATTCCGAAAAAAATCTCGCCCAGAACACAGCAACAACAAAAAAAGACCCATAAAATTCAAATGTTCAAAAACCCCCCTCTCTCATTTTCATTTTCTCGGTTTAATTATATTCGACATCGCTTTTTTTGTTGAAACAATTTTATGGTGCATGCAAAAACCACTCTAAACAGATAGGTTTCGAAAATCCAACCGCAAGCACTCATTCTCAAATTTGAAAAAACCCCAGAATGTGACAATTATTGGAGAATCTAAATTATTATTGGATTTTAGTGGCGTCGATTTGTCTGTGGGAATTGGGTGAAATCATATGGTGTGAGTGTTTTTCACAGACATATTGAAGCAATTAATTGGTGTGAGAATTGATTTATAATCAAATTATTATTATTATGATAGGTAGGAAAATGAAGCTGAAGTTAGCTAAAGTGGTTTTTTGGGGGAGAGAATTTGATACACTGGAAAAAATCCAAAAATTTTGTGAACTTCTGGAGCACAAATTTTTGATTTTCAAATTTCCAGCCTCAATTTCAACATGGTATTTTAAATTTAATCAAGATATTTTCCACGTCATTAAATTTCTGGGGTGGAAATTCAGAAGTCAAAAAAAATTCCTTATGGATTTTTGGAAACAAATAAAAATAAATGTAATGAGGGCTGGGATACTGTAGGAATTTTTTGCATTTTCACGTGGAATTTTTCAAAAGAAAAATCACTACAAAGTAAAATTGCCACGTCATAACGATTATCGAAATTTAGATGTGGATTTTTCTGCACCAAAACTTAAAACTCAAAATTTTCAAATATTCAAACTTCTTTTCTTCCCGCCCGCTGATTTTTGCGTGTTTTCCCAGCCATTCAAGCGTATTGTTTCAATATGACTAATTCTAGAACAAAACCTGACAGCTTTTTTGGCCTGTCACCCAAAAAAAAAAGAGAAAGAATGCAAAAAAAACAAAGACACCACAACCACATTTGAATTTCCGATTTCTCTTTTTTCTCTTTCGCTGGTTGCATTTTTCCAGCTAGAAACGTCAAATGCAGTGATGGAGAAAGAAAGAAATGGAAAAGAAGAAGATGGAAGAATAAGTTAATTGAACTCGAGAAAAAAAACGAAGAATCATGTTGACATTTCGTCTTGGGTGGCAGGCGCGATTGTTTTCAATTTGAAAAAGAAATTTCGAGAGACAAAAAAATGTGTTGGGGAGTGGGGTGAAAAGATCTTTTGGCAAATTTGGGGTTCGGGAAAATCATTTTTGGGAGAATTTTAGGTTTTGAAGGTTAGCGATGTCAAAAAAGCCACGTGGCGATGAAATTTTTGATGAAAATTTGAAAAAAAAAATTTTTTTTTTGATGAAAATTTGAAAAAGAAAATTTTTTTTGATGAAAATTTGAAAAAAAAATTTTTTTTGATGAAAATTTGAAAAATTATCGAAAGTTCCACGTGGATTTTTTTGGCGCCATAATTTAGTTTTTAATTTTTGGGGCCGGAATTCTGGATTTCAGAAAACTAGACAATTTTTGCCACGTGGATTTTATTCGTTAAAATTTTCCAAATAATAAAATTACAAAGATTTTTAAAAATCCACGTGGCAAAATGTTTTTCAAATGTTCTAGTTTCAGCTCTGAAAATCCACGAAATTCAAAAATTCAAATTTTTTTTCAAAACTTTGAAAATCTACTTCAAGTCTTTTCGAGTTTGATATTCAGGTTACAGTAATTCGAAAATTCTGGAAACTACATTTTTTCAAAAAAAAATTTTTTACTCTTTCAATCTAGAAATTGAATTTTTCAGCCTTCTTCGAAATTTCAGGGCTCAAAACCCAAAAATCCTCAATTTTTGCTCTTTCTTCTTCTACTTCCCAAAAAAATCCTTCAAACTCTAATTTAGCGCACTTGAGTTGTGCTAAATAGCGGACACAAAAAAAACGATAAAACTGAATTAGCCGTGTAAATAATTTTGGACAGCAAAAAACCAACAAAGAAATGTGTTAATGAGAAAAATCGAGGGTGTACTGTACTTTTATGGCTTTTTGTTTGAAAAAAAAATTGGAAAATTGAGGGGATGTAACTACAATGACGTGGCTTTTCTTCCAGCTAGTAATAAATCTTAAATCGAATTGTTCCAGCCAAGCAAGCAGCCAAAAAAAGCGAATCGCATAAAATTTTATGTTTTCTTCATTTTTTTTTAAGGAAACTACCATTACTATTTGACAGCTTGAATATAAATAGAAAAAGGGGCTAAAAATATTGTTTGGCAATTCTGACACGTATCACAATATTGAAACGAGTGACGAAAAAATAGGTGAGAATTGGTGCCAAAATCAGTGCAATATATACATCCAAATTATAATATTGCATCAAATTCAAATGCTCATTATTCAGTCGAAGATGCTCCAATTGTTCTGTTGTTCCTGGAATGGAAATTATTTGGTGTTACTTATTATTACAGTATTTTAGGTGTCTGGCGTAACAAAAGAGGATTATTATTGACAAATCAACAGTTGGGTGGTGAATGGTGTTATACGCAATAATACTGTGCAAATAATACATAGCTATAAGATAACAACACAAAGTTCTTATTTTTTTTTTGAAAAAAATAATAAAACAAAAACAAATTGGATGGGGACTAATTAGTTTTCCATGGAGCCCAAGTTATGCTCAAAAAATAATTGTTTTTTTTTCGCAAATAGAAGAAAAAGATCACGAGGGGGTTTTTTGATAGATTTTAGGCTTACAACAACAATAAGGAACTGTAGATTTCACATTTTCCGATTTTCAAGAAATTCAGATTTTTAAGACAACTTGGAAGAGAACCGAAATGGCCTAGAAAACCAAGACTAGAGTAGACTTCTTGGAGTCTAGAGTCTATTTGAAAAATAAAATGCGAAATTTACACGTTGGCTATTTGCCAACCAGTTTGATGTGCATGTGTCACGTCTGTTTTAGTCTACTGTACGTGAGCGCCAATTTAAACAGAGGTTCTTTTATTTTCGGACTGACAATAGAAATTTCGACAAAAATAAATCCATTTAGGGCCAAAAATAGAGCCAAATCTAAAAATGAAACTTGACCTTTTCACATAAGATCTATAGAAATCATTTTTAACAAAATATCAAATTTCAGGCTAAAAATAAGCTGGATAATTTCCAGAGAAAAATATACAAGGTTTTCATTTTTTTGAAAATATATTTTAAATTTTTTTCTCCAACCCCAAACACAAACCTGACAATTCAACCAATCTCACAATTTCCTCTTTCATCGTTTTCTGATTGCCCTTCAAAATCCTTGAAGCCAATCGAGATTTCTGTTTATAAACACTTTCTTCAGCTAAAACAGCACTCAACGCTTTGATGACGTCATCACGAGTCACTGTGAATTTATCAAGAGCATACGCATATCCACGTTCTTGAGCAATCACAGCATTTGAATCTTGATCGGCGAAAATTGGGAGGCTAATTAAAGGGACACCGAAGAATAAGGATTCTTGAACTGAATTCATTCCACAATGAGTTATAAATGCTTTGAGGCGACTATCAGCTGCAAATTTTTTGATAATTTAGATTTTATTTAAAGCAAAAAGCAAACTCACCGAACAGATCAACCTGCGGAACCCAATTTCGATAATAAACATTTGGATAACTAAAATTATTGATTGATTCACTTTTCCAGATAAAAGTATATTCAGGAAATGCCTTAAATGCATCAATAAAAGCGTTTTTGATAAAATCTGGCATCTCATGAGATTTCAATAATGATCCAAGCGAGAATAAGATGGTTCCCTTGCTTTTCTTGGATAATATCGATTCGAAATCTTCATTTAGGGATTGAGGTTCTGGAGTTGTACTTCCGCCAATGTATTTGATTCGTTGCAAAGTTGGACGAGTTGATTCGGTGAATTCGTTGGTGTTTGTGAAAACATAGTCGATTTTTTGCTGAAATTTTTTGTTGTTTTGCTATATTTTCAAAAAAAAAAAAAGAAAAACCAACTTTGTAAAGTTCCTCAAGATCAGGGAAACTTCCATATTTGCTATTAAACATTCTTTGATCTTGCCAGCGAATAAATCGATAACAAAACTTGCTTGCCAAATGAAAAAGAATATTATACGCCCGATCCCAGAAGCTTATTCTGCTACCCAAATGTGTCATTTGAACTGGGATATAACTCAAAGGCACGTCTAGATTCAACAATTCATAGTGTGCATGTGTCATTCCGAGTGCCGTTGCCAAAATCACTTTTTTGATGCCAACAAGTTCGAAAATTCCAGCCGGGCAAAAGTGGAAAAACTCAACGACCGCCACATCAAATTTTCCATTTCTCAAAATATTCAACATGTTTGGATCGTCTAGAAGACTTTGACATATTCTTGAATTCACACTTTGCATCTTGAAAAAATCGCCCATGTCAATAGTTTTGGTTTGGAAGATTTCGCTTTGTTTGAAATTGAAATATGACCATTCATTTGGTTGAATGAGCGGCGATTCGAATCTTATTATATTTCTCACATTTTTCGAGCCAGTTATATTAACATCCGGGTCGTTTTTGAGTAATAAAAGTGTCTGCAAAGTAAAAGAATATGAGGAAACCACAACTATTTTCATTAATTACCACATTATTTCGATTATCGCTTATTATATCCGCCAATCCACCCATAAATGACACATGGCTTCTGCCAATCGTCGTCGCCCAAACTAATACATTAATTGCGCCAGTTAGATTAATTAGTAGAGTTGTTAGTAGAACTAATATCAGCATTTTTGAGGAGCATAAAGAAACGAAAACTGCAAAAACTCAGAATTTGAAATGAAAATTTATGGCGGGCCACACACAAATCGCTGCGAGACATCAAAGGCACACAAAATTCAAATTTTTTTCCACGCGCGCGCGCGTGACACGTTTTCGCGGGTTTTCTGTGTTCCGCCTGTTTTTTTCATTTAAAAATTTTTGTCTCGAGGAAAACCACGTTATGAATTTTATACATTGCTACAATTGCTATTCATTTCCATCCAGAAATGTGGAGTTTTATATCACAAATTGCATGCACATTTTCTGTCTCAATTGCAAAAGTCAATGTGAGTTTCTGGAATTTTTAAGAAAAAGTATAAATAATGAATACTTTTAGGCATTGAACCAGACGCGCGAAATGTGTCAAAATGCTTGGTTTGTCAGAAAGTATCAGCCAAGTTTATGAAATTGGATCAAAATATGCCGCCCGATATCAAAGCCTATTTTGATCCAATAACAAATGGTTATAAAAAGATGCGTGAGCGTTGCACGCAAATTTTAACTTTTCAACGGAACCAACGCTCGAATTACACAAAAGGATTGCGGAAAAAAGAGGAGTTTTACATTGCTCTTCAGACACAATTTAATGAGGAGCGCAAGAAAAAAGAGACCTATAAGCAGTGAGTTTCATAGATATTTGTTATTCAAAGTGATAAAAATCTACGATGTTTTTATAGGGCGCTGATCTCTTGTCAACAAAAACTCAAGGAAAAAACAATTGAGCTCGAATCGTTCAGCTCAACTCGAACTCTACCCGAAAGTCCACTTTTCACTACGCGACGAAATTCGGATTTGTACAGAACACCGTGCGCCGCCAATTCAAACAGTGATCCGTTCAGCACACCGAAACAACCGGCATATGAAAGAACGAAAAGCTCGTTGAATTCGACGAGTTCGGCGTCGTTTATTGATGAAATGATTGGAGCGGCGAGAACTGGGAGAATTATTAGGAAAAAATAGGTTTGTTTTTTTTTTTGTTTCGAATGGATTTGAAAGTAAAATTGAAATTAAAATCTATGAGGTCAAATGAAATTTAAGTACAACTTTCCCAAGACCTAGTTTCTCTAGCAGTCTATTTTCTTTGCAAAAACCAATTTCTTCTATGTAAAATCAGCACTTTATCGTAAAATATATACATCAAAAATTGCATAAATATACTTCTTCAATCAATTAATTTCCACTGCCCTCAAGATCATCAATGTTAACTTGGAAGTGAACAAGATCTGTACGAGCATAGAATTCCTCATCAGTTCCATAAGGTTGTGTGGATGTTGTGACTGATGGAGCTGCTGTCGTTGTAGAAGACACTGTAGAATTCATAGCTTGTCTTTTGTTTCGAAGATTTTGGCTTGAGCTAGAAGTTGATGTAGAGTTCATGAGATTTAATGGAGCTCCTGTGGAAGTAGAGTTGAGGTATCCTGGCAAAGCAAGATTTATCGCATCTTTCAAACTTTGAGCCATAGTTGAATCAACTCCAGATACTGAAATGAAATATATAATTAAATTAATTAGATCTTTCTCAATAACTTACATCCATCAATGGTGTTTAACCCTTGAAGACTTCCATTTTGATAAGTCAACGAAATGTTGTGCAAATATTGAATATTATTAAAATCTGGCCCAGTAACTGGAGCACTTCCAGCCAAAGCGAATAAGCTCAAAATTGTTGCGATGAACATTTTATTTTTTTTTTCAAAAAGAGAAACAAGAAACAAGTTGTAGTAAAATGGTAGTGAGTCGAATTGCTTAAATAGTTACAATGTCCACTCGTACTTTCTTGTTTGCTTTCAATTTTGTTATTTGATTTGACAATTCTTTTTGGAGCAATACAAAGTTGACTGTGTAAAACACTTTTTTCTATTTGTGCAAATCAAAAATCACTGGTGTCTAGTAGTAGTAACCAGTTTCTTTTTTGAGTTTGAAATAGTTTGAAGTGTGAAGAAGCTAAAAATATAATAAAGCATGGAACTGAACTATAGTCTATTTGATTTTCAGGTCGAATTGGGTGCACTTGGAATATGAATAATAATAGTGATTGATAATTGTGTGTGTATGTAATAATTGGATTGTGATCGTGTTTATTATCTGTGAATAATGAAGTCTTGCATCATAATGGATTTTGAGTGAGTTTTTTTGGGCCAAAAGTTTTAAAAATTGGAAAAGAAAATTTGAAAAAAGTTCCAAGAGGAATTCAAAAAGACACGTATTTTTTTGAAGTTTGACTAAAACTAGGCCAAATTTGCTTTCATATATTTTTGCGTCAAAAATCCACGTGGATTTGCACTGGATTAAGAATTTCATTCACTTTCACAAAAAATTGTTTCTAGTAACATACATCCAAACAATTTTTACACCTCGTCATACTATTTTCCATGTTTATTTATTTTTTGGAACTACAAACTGAGTTCAAGTCCATTTTCCAGTTATTTGTTTGTTTGTCTAACTTTTTTTTTCGTCTCCAAACAAGTAAGTAAATATAGTAGTGCATCATCATTCCCTTGTTAGCCTAACTCAGTAATTCGATCCCATCTGATCTCATCAAAATGTTCAACCTCAAAAACCTTACCGATCATATTTGACATTCCAATTTCGATTTTTTTCTCGGTTGAAATAATTCACGCCCCCGTTTTTTTTGAGCAAGAAGACTAAAACTCAAAAAAATCCAATGTGCCAACAATGAAAAGTGTGACATACAACTGACGTTCGATCGAAAACTATTCAAATAGTAGTTTTTTTCTCTTCTCATAATGTTTGACTGTTGCGGTGGGGTTTGTTGAAAGAGTGCCAAAAAAATTTGCTCTGCAAAGTTTTTTTGGTGATGAACGAAAAACAAGTATGATCAAGATGTTGGAGTGTGTGTTTTTGTCGAGTGTGTCATCTTTTTTGGAGAATTCCCGCCGATTTTGAACTTTGACATGGAAATTTGAATCTTTTTGGAATAAAATGAGGAAAGATTGGATTTTGTGGTTTCTGCCTTCAAAAAATTTATGAAATATACCAAATTTATTGGAAATCCCCATATTTCCATTCCATCTTGAATATATCCGTCCTCATTTCAAAACCTAGACCTCCCGGTGTTTTGTACATTGATTAATTAACGAATTTGGAAGAGCGTAATTAATCTTTATTAGTGCTGACCTCAAAAGTCTTTATTACACGTTCAGAGAATTTGTTGTTGTTTTTTTTCATCGTAAGTATGTAAGTAAGTAACAAATTTAAAAATATATATACAAAAAACCAAGTTATGCTGATTGTTTTAGAAACTTTTAACCATCACTGTGATTAGTGGAGTGAAGCCAACACCAGCAGCAATTCCAGCCACTAAACATAGTGCTGATATCTGTCCGGCCAATTTTGACAGCTCTGGTGGGCAAACTCTGAAAAAATCGAATGATCAAACAAATGATAAGATAGAGAAGGGATTATTTTACAAATGAACACTTTTTTGGAATTATTTTGGAATTTAATGAGCATCTTGTCAGAAGATCAAATTTCTACCTTACCTTGGTGAATACATCATTCCGAGCGATGAAAAATAGCCACTTGTGAATGCCATAATTGTGTTACCGAAAAAGAAGATCCACTCATTTGAATATAAAACAAACATTGATCTTTGATCTGGTAGATAATTGGAAAACATGAAAAATGGAATGAAGAGAAGTCGAATAAGACATGGGATGATTAGGAAATCTGGGCCGGGCTGTAAATTTTTGAATTGGGTTTTGAGATAGCTTGGATTCTGATTATTCGGAATTTTCTAGAGTTTTTAGAAAACTTCGCACTTTTGAGACTTATTCTGAAATTATGAAATCCCAAATTCCTCTCAAAACTCACAAATTTGATGAAATCCGCAGTTGTCGAACCAACAGCGGCGAAAAGGTTGAAATTCAAAAACGTGGTGATTCCCGCATAAATATCCGATGGAAATACAGTGTAGTTTGGCACAAAGCCAACTAAAATTGTTGGAAAAACGGAGAGAGTTACGAAATATACAAAAAAGACGCTCAAATATTGTTTCCAGCACTGCAAAATGTAGTTGTTTAGGTGAATTTCACAAAAAAAACTCACGTATTTGAAGGTTTTGAGATAGAGACGATAATCGAATTTGGTGTTTTCTTGAGCTGCGCGAGCACGATTTCCTTTCTCGATGTAGTAATTGAAGAAACTCAATTTCTTGCAAAACCACCAGGAGATCAGACAGATAATTAGAATAGCAAATGAGATTGAGAAATATACCAAGGCTACCATTTTTGGTTGAGAAGCGAATACGAGAGTTGCGACAATTGCCAAAACACTTGTAAAAGTTCCACAAATATTTGTGCCAATTACCACGGCGTTTGAATATTTTGCCGGAAAATCGGCGGCTAATCCGAAGAAGGAATTTTGATATAAACCATTTGATGCATTCATAGCCATGATAATGATGAGAGAGACGATGTAGAACCAGTTACGAGCTGGAAATCGGAAAATTGTTTTGAAGTCTGAAAGATCCCTTGAATTTACCTGCATCACTTGGATTTTGGAAAATCACCAAACCCAAAATAATCAAAATCAGTGAACTATTAAAAGTCAATGGCGAAATGATTCGATACAAAAGTGGTCCTCGAATAATATTCAAAACATTAATAATAGCAACAATCATATTAGGAATTTGCGAAACGATTCCCATTGCACTCATAAAATTATCAGCATAACTAGTTTTTGTTCCATTCACTGTAAACCAATAATCAACATAATATTGTGGAGCAATTGTAATAAACATGTTCCAAGGTAATAGAACACCGACTCCGTTTAATAAAATGATCCAGAATACAAGATTCATCCGATCTTTTGGCACATTTCGCTCGTCTTCTTCATTTTCTTCTGATGTTGATATTATTGCGCTTTGTGAATCGTTGCTCATGTCTAATTCTTTTTTTTGTGAATCCTCGAAAATTATTGTCATCTGAAAGAATTCTTTGATTATTTTCAGTTATCTTAGTTAGACCAACCTGAAGGCTGCCATATTTTCTGGGTTTCATTTTTTTGTATAGCTGGCTAGTTTATTATAATTTTGAAGTAAGATAGCATTTTTTCTCACGCACTGATAAAATGTATTGTTTTATCGATTCTCTGGAGACAAAAAGAGTCATGTGACTTAATTTATTTACTCACAATCAATCAAACACGTGTGACTGAGATCGAACCCGACACCTTTAAGTTGATAGGTTATTTTCTAACCAGGTACACCACTCGGTATTGCGCGCAAGGTCTCAGTTCTAGCTCCGATGGGGGATTTTCACAGAAAACTTGTTTTCTAATCAAAATTTTATTCTGATTTCCTAATCGAATTAATGAATCTTTAAATATTGATCTCCACGTGGATTTCTAGATGATTTATTAATATTTCCGGAGTGTTCCAACATTTTTATGACCTGATAATTTGAACTGTCTGATAAAACATGTCACGAATTTGACAGGCTTATCACACAATCAGAAGCAACTCTACAAATTTTTTTTCGTGAAATGAATATTGACCTCATAACGTCGAAAAAAAACTATTTTTCCCATAAAACATTGGTTTTTGGCATACACACGTGCCAATGGAAATTGATAAGCAACGAGAAAAATTTTAATGATGATTTTTGCATTTTTTCTTCACCTACTCACTCAAAGATAAAATCCGACGTCGATGGAGATAAGTTGTTTGTTGTCCCGCAAACCCTCCCTGTTAAGAATTCCTGAAATTGGTAAGCCGATTATTTATGGGAAATATTTGGCGGGAAGAGGAAAATAGATAAAGAGAAGATTTTTGGACATTTTTTTGAATAAGTTGAATCATAAAAACTTGTGGTTAAGATTTTGATAAGGTTTTTTGATGCTCATGTTGCACTTTTTGCAAAAATAATTCGTTGAAAAATTATTTTTGCGAAAAAAATTGATTGATTCGATTTGCATGGAATTTTTTGGGGAAATTTTATAGAAAAATTTTTTGTTAAAAAATTTTTGGAGATTTTTGAGAAACTGAAAATTTTTGAATTTTTGGAGCTACTGCCAAAATTTCAGATGTTTTACTTGATCTTGCTGAAACCTAGATTTTTTCTGAAAATGAACCGTGTTTCGGCTCGAATTTAAAATTTGTCAAAATTATGCTAAAAATTTTTTTTGGTCATGATGTTTCTGAAGATTCTGAAGTAATACAAAAAAATTCATAGTAACTTCTGAATTTTTAATTCACAAGTTTACCAAGGATCTAGGCTTTAGTTTCACATTTACTGGCTTTCAGAAAACCAAGATTAGGCTTGAGAAAGGATTCTGAAATTATCCTAAGTCTGAAAAAGCTGAATTCAACCTTCAAGAACCCCAAGCTAAATTTTTAAGTCCAAAAAACCCCACAACCCACGTGGCCCAAAAAAAAGACGAAATAATTCATCAAACAAAAAAAATCGTCCATAAAATTGTAAATGATGGACTGTTGCTCCTTTATATCATTTTTTGCTTTTTATCATCGGAGCAGGAAAAAAATCGCGAAAAGATAACAATTTTTTCTCGGCGAATTGAAAAAAATGAAATGAATTCCTCATTTAAAAACTGATTGCTTAAAGGATTTTGGCACGTGCAAAATTTATCACACTTTTAGCAAAGGGGGGGGGGTTTGTTCAAGTTATTAAAAGAAATTGGCAACTTTTTTATATTGAGTTGGATTATTTTTGGAATGAACAAAGATTAGAATTAGAAATTTTGGGTTCAACTTTGGAGGTTTTTTTCGATGTTTGAAAATTCAAAAGTCTGATACGATTTTTAACTGAAAAAAACTTCGTAATTTCGATATATTTCAAAAGTATAGGCGCAAGATTTCAAAATATTTACACTGGAAAATCCAGTTTTGAACTTTATATTGATTAGTTCACGATTAACTCTGTGAGTTTTGTCCGAATTTGAGTCAATGGCTAGAAATGTTCTCTATCAAATTTTGAAAATGAAGAAATTTTCGTTTTTAAGTTTTGAGACCCGATTTGATTGGGTAGAAGTTGAAATTTTACTATCTTCGTTGGATTTTCTTGAGTTTCCTCCAACTTTCCACCAAACACAATTTTTCAATCTGTAAAATTCTGGTCCCTTAATACTTGTTTTACAATTTTCGTCGAGAGTAATTTATACTGATAATTGTCATCTTTCATTGTCAGGTTAGTTACAATCTCATCTCCAGCTGTGTTTCTTCAAAAACCTGCGGGATTCCACAAAACCATTAACTATTCAATCATTAATCATTTCATTAATCATTCAAAATAGAAAACCCCCCGAACTATCAATTTTTCTCGATTTTGTTTTGTTCCAATCCGAAATCCCTCGAAAATGGTTAACACAAAAAAAGAAGAAGAAGAATAAGAGAAACCCTTTTGTTGTGTCACTCAAAATCCGTCATTTTGATTCTAATTCGTTTCGAGAACCAGATATTTGTTGTATGTAAATGTCAATATTTTTTCGAAATTTAGATTAAGTATCTCGAAAGGAGTTTTAGGTTGGGTTTGTCACATTTATTATTGGGGGAAAAAATTCGTCGCGCGACACCGTATCGTTTTTGGAAATCGGACGAAAAATGATGAATTAGGTTGTGACACTCAATGTGTTTTTTTTTGTGTATGTTGAAGTGACTGATCCGATACACTGATTTGATTTTGGATGACAATGATTAATTACTGAATAATGTTTTTTTTTGTTGTATTTGAAAATTGAGAAATTGATTTTTTCTCTTTCACAGCAAAGTTATCTTCAAAATAAAAATTGTGCCTGGAATTTTTCTATAATCCGTCAGTAGTTTGATAAAACATCAACACGTTTTTCAACAGTTTCCCGGAATATAAACATGAACATGTTGATAAAACTAGGATGACAATTTGTAATCAGTGAAAATTGAATCGAAAGTTCAATTTTGATTTATTTTTGTGGAATTTTTCGGTTTGGTATAGCTGGAATAGCTTAGAAAAACATCGATTTTTTCGGAAAATGTCAGAATTTATGAATTTTTTGAAACGTATTTTTTTCTGATGAAAATATTTTGAAAATTTATATGCTTCATTTTTATTCGGAATTTTCCCAAAAGTTCCAGTGCTATGGTTAATTTAACTTGTACCTAACTAAGGTTTCGCCTTGCTAGAAAAGAGCTTATGGCTAAAATCCCCTTAAAGTACACCCTGATCCCTCAAATCTTACAATCTCACAAATCAAATCCGATCCGAGAATATTCATATCTCCCCCTCCCTTTTCCTCCCGCCACTCCTAAATTTTTTATTATTCTGATTCTATCTGTTATTGTGTGTTGTCTTGTGAAGAAAGCCGAAAGAAGTCCCTAAATCAGTTCCACCTGTCAAACATTTATGTAGAGGTGCGAAGAAAAAAGATGCGAACGGTCGATATAAATTTCGATTGTCAGAATAAATGAATAGATTGTAATCTCTTTCTCACTTTTCTCCCATCTGAAAGCAGTCAACATCTATATTTATCAATATTTCTCTTTTTTCTTTCGGGAAAATCTTGACTGACACAAAACATGTTCAAACAGCGATGACCGTCACGGTGTTTTTTGAGCGATTTCTTCATTTTTGAAAAGGTGTCGGCGGTTGTCAGATTCGATGTTAGACAGTTGATTGATTTTTCAGTTTTAGGAGAAGAATATGAATAATGGAAAATGACAGACAGAAAGATTTGGAGAAAAAGAAGAAAAAAAGAAATATTGACTGAGAGATTGGATTGTCTGGAAGTTTTTCTTGGAATTCAATAATTTTGAACTAATCTGAGCAATCACAGATTTCTGATTTGTGTTCATCAAAAAGAAAAAAGTTTTGAGAACTTTAAAAAATTGATGCTTTTTGAAGCTTAAGATTAATCCAATTTTTTTGAGCAAAAATTCTAGTAGCAGTATTTTTATCGACATCCAGTAAATCAGGATTATTTGAGCAAAATTCTGTACTCATAAAAATTCAGCAAATTCTGTTTTGAATCAATTTTGGTCCCTTTCCATATATATTTTTCAAAACCAATACCTTCCTTCCTTCCTTTTTCCCTCTTTACCAGATGTTTTCCCACATTCGGTCGATTTATTCATTTACCCACTCAAAAAATCTTCGCCGACAAATTGCTCCCAACAAATAAAAAAAAATCAAATAAGATTCTACTGCTACTCCCCGCCCGAACAGCAGCAATAAAAATCACATTTATTTGTCGGTCATTCAAATATATCTAATACAACAAAAATGTCTTTGGGTCTCTGATTTACGATATGGCGCGAAATTCGAAATGATCGGGGTGTCGGCAAAACGCAAGTTTTTATGTTCTTCGTTTTTATTTCTTTTCGGAAGGAGGAGAAAGAAGAAGTTTTAAAATGCTCGTAAAACGGAAGAAATTTATGATTGAAAAACTTCGACATCTTTGGAGGTCGTGTGAAACAGGATTACTGTAGGTAGGGAAAATTTGAGCAAAACTTGGAGCTTTTGTGATTTCTGAATTAATATTCGAATTTTCTTGTAGAAATTTGGAGGTGATCATTTTTTAATAAGAATCGGTCCCAGGTCCCATTTTTTGAAAAAGTTTCAGATTCAGATACCAAAAATAGGTTTCGAAAAAGTAGTTCAATTAGAAATTTTTCTAGAAAAGTTTGTATTGGGGCTTAGAAGTCTGAATTCAGTAGATCTTCCTAAATAGATTGCAAAAATTGTTTTATTAAATTCTGAATTATTCCCAGACGATCCACTTTCAAAAATCTCCTCATCCATTTTTGGTCCCCCATAAATATTTTTCAAATTCATTATATTTTTTTTAATTCTTTTGTGTTTTTTCCCACCCATTCATTCATTCATTTGTCAATGGGTCAATCACATCCGTGCTGCTTCGCAATCAAATTATTTATATCTATAATAATAATAATAACAATAAAATAAAACCAAAAACAATTAATTCTCTTTTTTCATCTTCTTATTCATATTATTATTATTATTATTATTATTATCAAATATCAATAAAATGTTGTAATTTGATCATAAAA